ATCTGCTCCTGCTTCTCTGTGACTGCTGGCAAGCAGATTCCTTCTCACTCTAGGCAGCTTCCTGCTCCTGGCAAAGGATGGCACGCCAGACGGGAGAGAGACGTTACCCAAAGCACACTTCCTGATTTAAAGAGTGTCACTCCCCCCACCATGGGCTGCCAATTTTAGTAAAATACCGTTCCAGCTGCATCTTAGGACATCTTAGTTCAGCTTGTTCCAGGAAATGACCTCCCAGTACCAGTTTCCTATGCATGGCCTTCTGTGTTAGACATGAGGGAGGTTGGCTTCTTGTGCTAGGCTTCTTGGGATGTTTACCACCTCAGACAAACTGACAGGAACCTTTCCCAGTGAAGAGGTGAACAAGAAACCAGAAGTCATGTAAGGCAGGCTGAGTCTTGTCAGGATGGAGGAGTCAGAAGTTGAGACTGGACAAGGAAGGAATAGAGGCTGGGACAAGCTGAAACAAAACACAGTGATTGCCTTCAAATGGCAGAGGCATGTGTGTGGTCTTCCTGGTCCCTGAGATTTAAGCAGGGTTCACAGGGAAATGGCAATCAGTTTCACAGAAGGAAAACAATGCATTCCCTCTAGGGTTCTTTCTTCTTAAAAACGTTTAGTTTTTCATTTGTAAATGATTTCAAATTCACAGAAAGGTGGTAAGAATAATGATAAGAAATTTCAGCTATACTCAGACAAAATAACAAGCTTCCAGGATGACTTTAATATTCTCTGCATGCATTATTTATTAGCACTGTCTGTGACCTCCAGACCCCTGTGTCCGTGCTCTGTGCTAAAACTGCAGGTGTGTGCCCCTATGCTTGGCTTTTATTATTATTATTGACACATTTGAAAGTCTCAGATAATTTGCTGCATTTCCTCTGAATACTTATTTCTCAGGAATACTGATTCTTATATAACCAGAATCATCAAAATGATAAGTATCTTCAATCATTTAACAATCAAAAGGAGGACATTCGACTTTAACTTAACATTGCTGCACAACCCACAGCCCACATGCTAACTTCTTCAGTTGTCCCATTCATGCCCTTTAGTTGTTTTTCCTTGTCCAGCATGCCACACAGGATTGTATGGTGCTTTTAGCTATCCTGTCTTTGGTTTTCTCTAAGCAGAAACATTTCCTTGCTGCTTTTGTCTTCTGTGATGCTAAGGTTCTCTCTCTGTCTCTCTCTCTGTCTCTCTCTCTCTCTCAGCCTATCACATGCGCTACTCATATAGGTTGATATGCGGGTCTAGTTCATTTGCCTTTAGTTTTAAGTAGCAGTGTGCTGTGTTCGTAGTGTTCAGTTTGTCAAGCCATTTTCTTATCTGCATGTTGAAGACATGGTAAACAGCTGCTACAAGCATTAAGTCAGCAAAGTATGTTTTCATGAGATGCCATTGTCTGTGGGTTGTTTGCTGGTGTGTGTGCTTTATATTGCATTTCTGTCTTGACACCAATGAGCATGAGAGAAGAAGGTAACAGGCAGGAGAGGATTAGAGAAGGGAGTGAAAAGGAGCTTGCAAATTTTAGGCTACATCACGAACACTTGCTTAAGGGAGACTGTGTCATCTGCCATGGGCATACCTGGTTGCTGGCTATGTTGATGATGCTAAATTGACTTATAAATTATTGGCACAATTTACCTTCTCACCAGCAGGGTTTAAAAGTGGCAGTACTCTTACCTATGCCAAGCCCCACAATTTTCAGGCTTCATAATATTGCCTATTTGAAGAACCAGAGGTAGCTGTTTTTGAGGTTTTAACACCACTGCAGCTTAGAGACTGAGCATATTTTCCTGTGTGTTTTAAAAAGAATTTGTTGCTGTTTTGTTGTTTTGAGACAGGCTCTTACTATGGAGCACAGACTGACCTCAAACTCATTACTGACTTGTCTTCTCTGTGCTGGGACTGCAGGTGTGTGCCACCACACTGGCTTCATGTGTTCAATGAGCTCGCCTGTCAATTACCTAGCCACATCTTTTGTTTACCTTTCTAATTGAGTATTTATTCATTATTGGTCTATAGAAATCTTTAATAAATTTTAAGTACTAATTCTTTACAGTTAAAGGGTTGTATTTACATCAGCTTTTCCTAACAGTTAAATCAATGATGCCCTCTGATTGACAAGTTTGAGATTTCAGTGTGGTGGCCTTAGTTATGACTTTAATTATGCTTTCAATTTGCCTTAAGAAACCCTTCCCTTGGGGGAGGGGAGGGAGAGGGAGGAGGGATTGGCATGTGAAGCAAGCTTATTCCTAATTTGAACTAATAAAAAAATTAGAAAAAAGAAACCCTTCTCTCTCAAAAGCCCATTCACGTCTTTCTCTGTATGTCTTACCAGTGGGATTTTTCCTTTCCTAGACACTTTGCCCATGTATTTATTTATCTCAGTGGTACTTTGGATTGACCCTAGGGCCTTGTAGGCTCCTCTAACCCTGAACTGTATCTCCAGTTCTTTGCTGGTTGTTACTTTTTCTTTGAGGCAGGGCTGTGCTAAGTTGACCAGACAGGGCTTGAATCTATGCTCCTTCCACCCCAACCGACTGAATAGCTGAGCTTACAATCATTCACCACTGCAACTAGCTGTATCTTCAGGTTTAAAAACCTGTCTCTTGTAGGCGGTATGTCATGGGATCTTGCTTTTCTACTCTTGGACAATCTCTGTTTTCAAAAGTTGAAATGTGTATCTAATATAACCATTGGTATGATTTAGTTTAAGACTATTAGCTTGCTTTTTGTCTTCTATTTATCTCTTATGGTTGCTGTTGTTTTGTTTTTAAAATTTTCCATTGCTTATTGTGTGCTTTTTAGGTGTTTGTGGGATACTTTACTACTTAGCGCCCCACCCCCCATCTGATTTCTTAGCTTACACCTTACTTTAGTGTCCTGTGATTTATTGTATAATGGTGCTATTGTATTCTCATTTCTTTTTTCTTCGAGGGGAACATTTCTGTTTCAGACTTCTCAGATACTTGCCGCTATTAATCCCAATGGACACATATGCACCAAATAGGTAGTATGTACAGCAACTGGGCTAAGCATTAAAGTACAGCTGTTAGTGAGAGAGACATGAAGCCCATAGTCATTTGGGTAAAAAGGAAAATTTCTCAGCAAAGGAGAGGTGTGATTTGAGCCTCAGAGTCTGAACAGGAATTGGACAAGTGAAGGAGGGGTCAGATTGCTCCAGGGGTGTGCACAAAGACTCAGCAGCAGCAGGAGGGATTGGCACTTTGTTCAGGGGACATTAATACATTTAGCCTGGCTGGAGCAGAGTGTGAGAGTATACATAAGGAGGGGCTGGGGCCCACATTAGCAAAAGGTTTAGCAACTTTGGAAATTTCTATTTCCTGATTGAATTAGGATTCTGGAGCCATGTCTGTGGCATTCTGGTCATTAATATTCATTAACAGAATGAAGAGTCTTTGAGCAGATCTGCTGCACATAAAACATGTGCCTCTCCCATCCAATTTCATGTCTCAGCTTCTGCTTTTTCCTGTTTCGATAAAGGAGTTTTTGTTTTCATATTTTGTTGTGAGAAAAAAGGCATATTGTTCCTGAGGCATGCCTCTTGTAATACAGGACACCTAAGGAATTTTTTCCAGGTTACCAGAGGAAGAGGAGCAAGCTTAATTTTCCCCAAGTTTGGACTGCCACAGACAAGACTGTCATTTTCAGAGTAAAGAAGTCCTTCCCTTTTCCCAGCCTCAGTTTCCTCTTCACCATAGTAAGGGATTTGTAAAAGAATCCAACTGTGGGCCACTTCCATTCCATGGTTTACCAGTGATGAGAAGTGATTTCATTGCTCTTTCTAGCCAGGAGAACTTCCAGGAAGAACTCATAGGAAATTGAGCCCTGTGTCTACGAAACAATATGGATCTAGCCTCTACTTAAGAGGAACAGAAATCATCTCAACACAGCTTAGCAATAAAGGAACATTTATTTCTTGTACTTGGGGAGAGGGCTGTTGTGAGAACTCAGGGCAAACACAGAGGTAGGCCCCAGAAAAGGACAGGACCTTAAAATAGGTCTTGCCTGCTGTAGGAACCCCAAAAATGGGGGAGTTGATCTGTAGGCCAGGCAGACACAGAATGATTTCTCTCCACCTGGGTGATAGGTTTTTACTGGGGGCATTGGCCACAGAATTAATGGAAACATGGACTTGTCAAGATGTGGCTGGTCCTGAGGAGTGACCTTGTTGAAGTTCCTTTTGCCCACTGGGTGTACATTTGGAGGGGACATGGCTGTATAAGCTCCTGGAAGGATCCAGACAAATAAAGGTGTACAAGTATGGCAGAATTCACCCACACTAAGAAAGCAGAACCAATTTTCCTGAGGCTGCCTTGCTGGGCTGAGAACCGGCCTTGCCCATGGGTTGACCCTCACTGAAACCTCACAGGAGGACCTGTGGTTCCCAGCCAACTCAAGATTGGAACAGAAGAGGAATGAGATAAGCTTACTCAAAATGTAGATTCAGGGGTGTTGGTGGTGTCTGGCCACTGTCCTTCCTAGATAGAGAGTGATGGGCAAAACCATATTTGAGGGCTCAAAGCAAGTAAAGAGGTCTGGGTGCGACAGTGGCTTTGACTCTACTCCCTGTGTCCTCATTTCTCAGTGAGATTTCTCCATCTTTGCAGAGTGAAACTGTCCCAAAGTTAAGAGGCTAGGGCTCCTGAACACCATCAGAATGGTGGGTGAAGGCCCCTACCTCATCTCAGACCTGGATCGGCGAGGCCATCGGAGATCATTTTCTGAGAGATATGATCCCAGCCTGAAAACCATGATCCCAGTGCGACCCTGTGCAAGGTGAGCCAGGAGGAGGAGTGAGGTGGGCGGGGCTCCCAGGGATCCCAACCTCTGCCTTCCATGTGCCCCTCCATATGCCTGTCCTTTTATTCATCCAACCAGCCACACATCCACTCATTCATGGCCCACTAACTTCCTCTTTCTGTGGTCGGAGAGAGGAAGACAGCGCATGTCACAGCAGCTTTTCCTGTGCTGGGACTGTTCATGAAGTTTATAAACTTCTCATTCAGTTTTATTTTTCCCCTTCCTTTTTTTTTTTTTTTTTTTTGAGACAGAGCCTTGCTTTATAGACCAGGGTGGCCTGGCTCTTCCTGCCTCATCTTCCTGCCTCCCAAGTGCTAGGATTGCAGATGTGTGTCGTCACATCCTGCTTCTTTATTCACTCTGGAGGTTCTGTCACCATCTTTAGCTGATGGGAAGACAACTGGAAGAGGCTAAATCACTTGTCTGCAGTTTAAACAGGCAGCCTTTACTTTTTTTCTTCTCAAAATTTATTTATTTACTTATTTAAATTTATTAATTTTCTTTTTCATTATTATTATTTTATTATTACATTCTGACTGGTTTCCCCTCCTTCCTCTCTTTCCAGTGTCCCCTCCCCCCCACTGTCCTTCTGCCTCCTCTGTTCACTCTTCTGTTTCTCTTCAGAAAAGGGCAGGCCTCGCATGGAAATCAACCAAACAAGGCATATCAAGTTGCAGTAAGACTAGGCACCTCCCCTTGTGTTAAGTCTGGACAAGCCAACCAAGTATGAGGAATAGGGTTCCAAAAGCTGGAAGAAGAGTCATAAATAGCTCTTGCTCCCACTATTAGGAGTCCCACGAGGAGACCAAGCTACACAACTGTCACATATATACAGAGGACCTGGGTCAGTCCCATGCAGGCTCCCTGGTTGTCGGTCAGTCTCTGTGAGCCCCTATGAGCCCAGGTTAGTTGGGTCTGTGGCTTTTCTTACAGTGTCCTTGACCTCTCTGGCTCCTACAATTCTCTTCCCCCCTCCACAGAATTCCCCAAGCTCTACCTAATGTTTGGCTGTGGGTCTCTGCATCTGTTCCCATTAGTTGCTTCTTGTGCCTTTATAGGCATCTCCTTATTTAGGTTAGGAACATTTTCTTAAAAATATTTCCTGGGCTTTTGATCTGGCAATCTTCTTCTATTCCTAGTATTCTTAGGTTTGGTCTTTTCACAGTGTCCTAGATTTCCTGGATGTTTTGTGTCAGGAACTTTTTAGATTTAGCGTCTTCCTTGACCCATGTATTTCTTTCTTTTATCCTATCTTCTATGTCTGAGAGTCTCTCTTCCATCTCTTGTATTCTGTTGGTTATGCTTGTGTCTGTAGTTCCTGTTCACTCACCTAGATTTTCCATCTCCAGGGTTCCCTCAGTTTGTGTTTTCTTTATTGTATCTATTTGCATTTTCAGGTCTTGGACAGTTTTATTCATTTCCTTCACTTGTTAGTGTTTACCTGGATTTCTTAAAGGGATTTGTTCATTTCCTCTCTAAGGGCCTCTATCATCATTGTAAGATTGGACTTAAGGTCCTTTTCTTGTGCTTCAGCTGTGCTGAAATATCCAGGGCCTGCTGTAGTAGGGTGGCTGGGCTCTGGTGGTGCCATATTGTCCTTGGTGTTATATGTTCTTATGCTGGCCTCTAGTCATCTGGGTTTGGGGTTATTACAGGTTTAGGTGCCTATGAGTTTGTCTTTGTTGGATGGATGTTTTTTTCTCTTGCTTTCTGTTTCCTCTCTGGTCTTCTGGCCCAAGTGGCCTCTGGTTCTAGTGACCAGCAAATCTTTAGGTTCAGTAGTGTGTCTCCATTGGAGTTGGCAGCTTGTGTGACCTCTGAGGTTCTGGAGTTATGAGAACTGGTTGGCCTTTGGGGTTCTGGATAGTGGTGTGGCCTTTGGGGTTCCGAGTTGCTGGGGTTTCTGGGTTTCCTAGTACCCGTGTGGCCTCTGGTAGGGTAGGAATCTTCTGCTGGGGTTGTGGGCCGGGATATCACAGCCTTTATTTATTTTTTTTTATTTATTTAATATAATTTCTTTATTGATTCTTTGGGAATTTCACAAAATGCACCCTAATTCTGCTCACCCCTTGTCCCCCCATATCCTCCCTTCACCCCTACAGAACCCCTACCCCTGAAAGAAAATTTTAAAACAAAACAAAACAGAGCAAACCAAGCAAGCAAACAAAAACAAGAATAAACCGAAACAAAAGCGAAACAAAAACCAAAAGACCAAAACTAAAACCAAAAAACCCTCTTTGTTTCTCCTCCTTTCCTTCCTCTCCAACCCCTTTTCATTTGCCCTGGTGGCATTGGGAGCAGTGTGTCTGTCACACAGTATAACCTTTCAATCAGCTTTACTAGCAAATGTACATTGCAATGAATCTGGTTCAAGGTCTCAGGTTTCTGGTACACCATCATCACTGGATCCTCACTGAAACTCCTCTCATGTGTGCTTCTGAGGGTTGACCACAGTTGACTGGGACAATCGAGACAATTGGGCCATATAGTCATAAAATCTCCAGTGGACTTTCAAGAGAATGGGTGGATGCAGGCAGGACACCTTTAGACTCATACTCACACCAGCACACAACTTTTTCTGTGTTTTGTCCACCAAAGTGAGCTGCAGGACATCTCAGATTCAGAGTGAGGGAAACAGACTCCACCTTTTGCTGACATGAGCTACAAGACCACACTAAGGGCCTGGAACACAGAGCCAGAGAGTGGGTCATTTTAAACTCTACAATAGTGTCTCAAGCAGTCTGACGTCCAAGCTCATATGCTCAATAATTTGGTATATTATTTTATATTTCATTAACCACAACACTAAAAACTGCTGCCTTTTCTGAGTAACAGAGATCAAGTGGCATCTCTTGGTCTTGTAGCATGTCTCAAACATTGTTTAGTCTTGACAATCTCCCTCCTTTCTCTCTCACACATATTCCAATTTGACCATATTCATTCCATGTATTTTTCAATTTTTATGATGTAATACTATACCTTGGCTACCAACATGACATCACTGAACATGAAGTTGGAGAGATGTACAGTGGCTCCCCACTCCTGGATATTCCCACCACAAAGATGGTAAATGAATGTGAGGAACTTAAGAGGACAGGGGCAATGATGTGAATCTCACTTCAACAGCATGTTTGTGAAAACTGGACCAATCAGTATGGACCCCATGCAGCATGATGTGTAAATTCATGCAACGTTCTGTAGTTTTTTACTTGTAATCTAATAAATATATTAAAAATTATAATAAAAATAGTAAAATAATTAGGTAATGCTAAGTTTTGGGTCTGGTTTCCTTTAATTTCAGGGTAATATAATTAAATGTATGTTACTCAGTTTTGAATATTGGCTGTGTTTAACAGCTGACCTGCGTGTTCCTGAGCATTCACCATCTGTTCTCCTGAGCTGGGGTAAGCTACACCACCAACAACGCAAAGGACTGATGAATGCAAGCCCCAGGGTCCACACATGACTGTGGTTTCTACTGTGGTTAGAAATACAAGCCAGGGTATTAGGGCAGTGAGCCCAGCACCCAGGAACATGAGAATACTATTTGCTCTAGGTTGGCACCCAATCCTGTGGATGATGCTGGCCTGCTGTCCTTTGCCACATTTTCCTGGCTCACACCTGTGATGATTCAAAGTTACAAGCATACGCTGACTGTGGACACCTTGCCCCCGCTATCACCATATGACTCATCTGACATCAATTCTAGGAGGTACCAGGGTCACCAAGGGGGTGGCATTGTAAGCAAGGGGTCCCAAGAGTTCTGTTACTTGTTTCTGTGTTCCCTGTAGAAACTGACACATTTGGAAGCTGTTGACCTTCTCAGTAGCTGTTCATTGAGATATGGGTTGAACTGCCTGCACTTCTTGGCCCAGTCTCTGGGGAAAGTATTACTGGGTAGAAAGAACATAGTGGGCTCTAATGTGAGACTGGGGACTGTAGGAGCAGCACTATGGACAGTCTATGCTATTTGGGACCCAACTGGGCTGCTGCGTGAAGCCCTAAGCATCATTTCTAGTTTTATTTATTTTTGAAGTATTATCATTATGTCTGTATTGTAAGCTGCCCATATTAGTCATTTATGACTTGGAAATGTACTACTGTTCCCAACTAATTGATATTAGTTGTAGTTTAGCACTGTTTAAGTAGTAAGATGATTCCCCACCATGCTTTTGTTCCCCTGCCAGAGGAAGACACCATAAACATGTTGGTGACCCTGTTCAGATTCTTTCTACTCTTTGCAACTATAACCTGTGCTGCTATTGTTTGCAGAAAATGCCTCATATGCTTTACCACTTACAGGCCACAGTGTGTGTGTGTGTGAGAGAGAGAGAGAGAGAGAGAGAGGGAGAGAGAGGGGGAGAGAGGAAGAGAGAGAGAGAGAGAGAGAGAGAGAGAGAGAGAGAGAGAGAGAGAGAGAGAGAGAGGCTCTTACTGTGTAGTCCTGGCTGGCCTGGGACTCACTGTATAGACCAGGCTGGCCTAGAACTCAGAGATTCACCTATCTCTGCCTCCCAAGTGGTAAGATTAAAGGCATGCACCACCATCACCATACTCAGTTCAGGCTATGCTTTTTATGTTGAGGTTAAAACATAGAACATGGAGCTGGAAAGATTGCTCAGTGGTTAAGAACACTAAACAGGGTTCAGTTCTCACTACCTACAACTATTTATAACTATATCAGATCCAATTTTCTTTTTGGGTGTGTAGCTATATGTGCAAACAAAACATATGCATATAATAAAAAATCTTTAGAAAAATTGGGCACATAGTGTGGCTGCCACCTTGCTCTTTTCAGCTGAAAATTAAAAAGACCTGTTCACATCTGTACAAAGACACCAGTCTCATTCATGCTTTGCCTTTAATGTGCCTGAGTGTTTTGTCTGCATGTGTGTGTGAGCATAATGCATGTGCTTGCTATCAGAGGAGGTCAGAGGAGAGTGCCAGATCCCCTGGAAGTGGAGTTACAAATTGCTGTGAGCTGCCACATGGATGCTGAGAAGCAAACCCAAGTCCTCTGCAGGAACCACAAGTGTTCTTAGCTGTAACCATCTCTCCAGTTGCAAACCTCATTCTTTATGATACTTGCATTGAAATTAGTTCTGAGGACCTACAATGTCTTGACCAAGCAAGGTCTTCAAAACTGCTACCTTTCTTTGTCCTGGAGATTGCCCAACTTTGGCCACATGGTCCAAAGTATGACACATCCTGGAATTTATACTAAAGGGGTCAAGTGCAAGTTATCATCTCGAAGTTGCTTCTAGGGGAAGAATTGCCCAGCCTCTTATCCCTGCCTTGAAGAAATCTCAGCTACTGCTAATTTCTCTACAGCCTTGAAAAGGTTTCTGGTTAGTTTTGAAGGGCTGTACAGTGTCTGTGTGGTGCTGGATTTTCCTTCTAACTTTCTAGCTAGTGTTTCCCATTAGGGATTTTTTTGTTTCCTGACCAATATCAACTGCCCCTTTTTTTCTCAGCTGATTTTTCTCACTCAGGCCAGGAGAGTAAATAAATGTTGGCTATTTAGTGATGTGCCTAGCTTCACCCCAGGCCTTTCTTCTATAATCTGAATTACAGAGGTCCAGTATCAGCAGTACTTGGATGCCTCCCGTGTTTCAATATCTAAAGTGTAGGGAGTTTCATCTGTATGAATGTAGGATTTCCCTCCCTCCCTCCCTCCCTCCCTCCCTTCCTTTCTTTTTTTGCCTGTGTGTTGAATACGTAGCTTCACACATGCTAGGCAAGAGTTTAAAGTTGCATTATTGACCCTTGGCCCCAACCTCGTGATACTCTTTCTTCCTCTCCCCTATCCATTCTCACAGTTGCTAAGACTGAGAACTGGGCTACTCTTGGTCTCCATTCTCCTTTCCTCCCACATCTAATCCAACAAGTGTTGTTGTCATCCCCTAACTGCCTGTCCTTGAACCTCTGTTAACTTTCCATCACTGTGCCGCTGGCCTGATGCCCCTCATGTCCTGTGTGATCTTTTACTTTTGCTGTGAGTATCCACAATTAATCACACTGCCATCCACTAAGTAATCTTTCAAATATGCAAATGATTTCATCTCATTGATCTAAAGACCTGTAGTTGTCTTCCTTGCATGTAGAGCCTGGCACAACCTAAATGCCCTCCTGAGGCCGTTGAAGTCCCATGGGAGTCTGCTTGGCCTTGCTTCCTAGCATCCTTAGCTTCATGTGCCATAGACCTGTTGTGAAGGACTCCATTCAAATCTTTGAAATGGACAATCTTTTTTGTTTCCTTGAGATAAGGTTTGGATTAAAACTTCAAATTCTCCTGCCTCAGCCTCCACTTGGATTATAGGCACACACCACCATACCTTGGTAAAAGAAGAGACACCTTTCCCCTAAGGAGGATTTTTAACTCTATTGCTCCCATCTTCTTATGGTTATATTAATGATGTTGTAGCCAGCGGCTGAGGAAGGAAAGCCTTGGGTGGTGCCCAGTGTAGATATCGTCAGCTACTCTGTCTGGGGAACACCTCCTTCCCCTCCATCCACTACTTACCTGTGCCCAGGAAGAATGAATGAATGAATACTGCTTGTCCAAAGGCACCAATTACCAGGACGAGGGCAGTGCCATCCACCTTTGCAAGAGTTTGCTCACCAAAGCATTTCCAGACAATAGGTGACATAGACTTCTGTCCTTTTTCCTTCCCCTTTCATTCATTACAGATTTCAGATTCTTTGGGATGAAGAAATAAAGAGGGTAGGACCTGAGCGGGCCTCTCTGGGTCGTGTGGTCTGGAAATTCCAGAGGACCCGTGTGCTGATGGATGTTGTAGCCAATGTCCTGTGCATCATCATGGCAGCCTTAGGGCCGGTGAGTGGGGCTGGCTCTTCCAAATTGTCTCCCAGATCCCCAGCTGGGCAAAACATGTGCTTAGTCACTTTCTCTAGGACCTGGTGGCTTTAGTGCATTGTCTTTATCTCTGTGTTCCTTGGGGGTGGATTTCTACAAAGTCAGTCCTTGTCAAGTGCAGCCACCACTGCTGAAAGTAGTGAAAAAGTCTGCCTATAATGCCAGCTTGCTGGCAGTAGAGGCCCCCTGTGTAGAGGGAGCCCTCTCCAGCCACCCTCCCTTCTCTCCACCGTGCTATTTTACAGACAGTTCTCATCCACCAAATCCTTCAGCATATTACCAGCATTTCCTCCGGACACGTCGGGGTTGGCATCTGCTTGTGTCTGGCCCTTTTTGCCACCGAGTTTACTAAAGTCCTCTTTTGGGCCCTTGCCTGGGCCATAAATTACCGCACAGCCATCCGATTGAAGGTGGCCCTTTCCACTCTGATTTTCAAAAACCTGCTGTCCTTTAAGACATTGACTCACATCTCTGCAGGCGAGGTAAGCAGAGCTGGAAGGAGTGTACGCCTGGAAGACTGGTCCTGTTCTGTGAGTGTGTGGGCTGTGCTTCCTGGACAGAGTAACCAAATCCTTTTTGCCCGTTCATATCCTGCCCACCACGTCACCTCCCCTGCCAAGGGAGGTGGTGGAAGCAAAAGGAAGTTAGGCAGAGGAGGGCTCACATCTGAGCTGCTGAACTTGAAAAGCTGCCACAGAACTCAAGGGTGACACCATTCAACCCCTTTTATTACAGTGAGGACAATAAAACAGTATAGGGCACACTATAGGGCAAGCTAAAAATTGTGCATGCCTGTAATCCTAGTACTCAAGAGACGGAGGCAGAAGCAATAGAAAATTGAGGCTAGCCTGGGCTGTTTAGTGAGAACTTGCTTCTTTTTGGAAAAAAAAATATTCTAATTGTGTAAGATCTCTGGTGCCAGAGATATAGAACCATGTGCACTGTCCTTCAGAGTTGACATTTTCTTAAGCCCTTAATCTTTAGTAATAAAAATCATTGCTGCTTATTCAAGGAAAAACTCCCCAGTCAAGGAAACCCCACATGATATTTGGTGAAAGGACTTGCTTCTCTTTCCCAGTTGCTCCTTTGGTGTATCCAAACCATCCTATGTCAATTATGCAGAGTAGATTCTGCATGGAATGAAGCCAGGGGTGAGGGTGGAGCTCCATTAGCAGAGTGCTTGCCCAGCCTGTGCAGGGCCCTGGGCTCCCATCCACAGCACCACATAGACCAGGTGTGGTGCCTCGTGCCTGCAATTCCAGCACTTAGAAGTAGAGGCAGGAGGATCAGAAATTCAAGGTCACCCCTAGCTACATTACAAATCTGAGGTCAGCCTGGTATATACAAGACTCTTTCTTAAAAAAAAAAAAGCAAATAAAAGGAATTTATCCTACTTTATCTTAAAGGAGTTTGGGAGAATGCAATTCAGGGCTTTGGGGAGGATAGCTTTGAGAGCCTTCCTTTCCTTCATCATTTTCTTATCACATGTCTCTCCTAATGACTCAGGATGGTTGTAAGAGATCCAACCACACCAACCTTCTCAGAAAGTCAGTAGGAGGGAGAGAAAAACACAAATAATGTATCTTTCCGGGGCTGAGCTTAGTTTTCTTTAAAAATTCTTCCCCAGATCTGGCTCTATACTTTGGCTTACACATCACTTTCAACCCCACTGTCACATGGCCACGCACTTTGCGCAAAGAAGGCAGAAAGGTCTCCTCCTCTTCCTTCTCCCCCCACCCCCACCTCTCCCTTCATCTCTCTCCGGTTCCTTCTTTGATGGTTAGGAGACATGGTCTCACTGTGGAGCCCATGCTGGCCCAGACCCAAGATCCTCCTGTTGCAGCCTCCCAGGTGCCAGGATCACATGCTTGGACGACCATGTCCACAGAGGAGATGTCTTTTAGTTGGTCGCATTGCTGCCTTGAGTAAAGCAGAACTGTGCCACTAAAGACATAAATAGGGCCTCAGCATGCTACCAAACCCCACCGTATCTTTTTGCAGCTCTCTTCTTTTTGATCTTCATTTCTAAGAAACTAGCCCTCCAAAGTCATGCCAGAGTGAGGTCACACAACTCAACTCATTGGTCCCTTGGTGTGCCCCACTTCTTGCTAATCAGAAAGCTTCCATGTTCCAAGCCTGAATCCATGTGTTTTCTTTCTAGGTGCTCAATATACTATCAAGTGATAGTTATTCCTTGTTTGAGGCTGCCTTGTTTTGTCCCTTGCCAGCCACCATCCCCATCCTAATGGTCGTTTGTGCAGTGTATGCCTTTTTCATTCTGGGGTCCACGGCTCTTGTCGGGATATGCATATATATCATATTCATCCCCATCCAGGTAAGTCAAGGATGTGCAATGCAAAATGCTTGACATTTGTGATCAGCATGCACAATTGTGCTGAATCGAGTGAGGGCTGCAGTACAAACCCAAAGCCTGTACCTCCATGAACACAGGTGTTCTGTCTTGAGTTGGCCCCGTGTCATTCATTAAGAACTTGAATTTGAGTACCCTGGGGGAGGAAGGATGCTTGTGCAGTTTGCCAATTTTTTTTCTTGCCCTCCATCTTGGCACTTCATTCTATTACCTGACAGATCCCCAGGTGTTTCCTTCTGGCTAAGTCAGCTGCCACAGTGCCGAGGAAGGACTGGACTGAGCCTCCCAGCCAAGCCCCCTTAGAACTTATGTTTGGCGATATCTTCTGATGCCTGGATTTTCAGGCCAACTGCAATTCAGCAATTCTCCCTGAATACGGTTGCTTGTACCTCAATTTCAGATGTTTATGGCCAAACTCAATTCAGCTTTCCGAAGATCAGCAATTTCGGTGACAGACAAGCGAGTTCAGACAATGAATGAGTTTCTGACCTGCATCAAGCTGATTAAAATGTATGCCTGGGAGAAATCATTTATAAACACCATTCATGGTAAGATGAGCAGCTGCTTTGCAAGGCACTTACATGGGTAGAACATGCTTTTTTAGGGGCTTCCTAAATTCTGCAGGGCCAGGCATTGTAGCAGGGGGCAGGGCAGGGCATTGAGGGGGCTTCCTAAGGTACTCTTGTAGGTCAGAGGATTTTTCCAAGGATTGTAGCAATTTTTTAATAGACCCAGACATCTGTTCTAATGAACCCAAGGGTGAGCAGCATATGGTTTCGTGTTTTCTGGGGCACAGAGAACATCTAGTGCTGGCCGGTTACCCTCTATAAAAATAATCCACAAACATATTGGAGCAGTAAAGGAGCTGTGTCAGGCTATTTCCTTGACTTAGAACCCCACATACACATTTACCACACACACACACACACACACACACACACACACACACACCACACACTTACCACACATGCATACCACAAACACATACACACACACATACATACACACCCCCACATACACATTTACCACACACACACACACACACACACACACACACACACACACACACCCCACACCACACCACACACACACTCTCCTTGCTCTTAGTGGCTTTATCATACTTAAATGGCCCACTGACACAATGGGCCATTAGCAGATATGAGGATGCATTTGTAGTTCCTCAGGTGATATCAAGCCGACTTCAGTCAAATGTAAATCTTTTTTTTTCCTTCCCAACACTGTTGTTTATTTAGAGCAGAGCTGGAGAAAATCTATTCCCTTCTACCCCCTTCCTCCTGTCATTCAGTCCTGCCCAGAGTCAGGCACTAGAACATGTTGGAAAGGCTCACTAGAGGGTAAAGAAGATGTGCAGAGCTTATGGCCTTTACCTCCCCACACCCCAGAGATCCGAGGACCCCCTGAACTCTTCTAATGGAAGCATAGCTTTTCTGGTCCTTAGATAGAAGGTTGAGAGAGGGTCCCCAGGATTTCCCCTTCCCTGAAGACCCTGGAGGTCTATGGAAGAGATGGGCTTTCCAAAGGTGGGGACAGGGATAGGAGAGGAATGGCAAGTACAGGGGAGGAGGTCTCTTGAGTGAAGTCCAGGATCAGCCCTCACATAGGGTAGAGGTTGTCCAGGATTGCCTCTCTGCTGCCACACCTCCATCTGCATCTTCAGTGGCTTTGGTTTGAAGCAGAAACCCCAGAGGCTTGTTCATCACAAGCATCATTCCCTATCTGACATAGATTCGAAAATACCCAATCCTGAGATGTACTGGACCACTGGAGAAGGGCTGCCAGGCTGTAGCAGGCAACTCTGCAAAAGCTCAGGTTCAACCTTCTGCATGAGGATGTAGGAGGCCTTCTTACTGTCCTTCAGCGGCTACAGAGCTTGTACCACTAAATGTAAACCTTAAGCATGGGGACAGCTGTAGAATTGCTGGTGTGGCTTCAGGTGGCAGTCACTCCAGGACCAGAGTCCTGCTACAGTCAGCTCTCAGGGTCTGCCCTCATACTTAGCCCAGTGTAAACTTGGGGTAAAGCTGTGTTTGTGTTTCAGGGACTGGAGTACCTACCTCTACTTCCAGGTCTCAAGAGACCAGGCAGGAGGATTGCAAGGACTGTGGGAGCTTGGGCTGTAGAGTGAGACACTGTGTCCCTCAACTCAAACAACAGCAACAACAATCAAAAAACCCCAACAACAACAAAAACAACAAAAAACCAAACCCAAACAAACAAAACCATAAAGATAACATCAAACAAACAAACCTTGCCCCTAAAACAGGAGAAAACCTGTTGCTCACACTCACAGATGGCAGGTCCCCTGGCTGGGCCATCAGCAGCTCAATAGGCTTTTGAAGGTACAGAAATTTTCCCTTCACACTCTAAACTTAATTCAATTTCATTTCATTTCATTCTGATTCCACTGGACTTAATTCAACGTAACCCAATTCAGTGTAGCTCAGGTCAGTTAGGTTCAATGATTACAGATCAAACTCCCACTATTTGCAGACCATAGGAGCTCCCCAAATAGCTAGGAAAAGGATTTCCACTGCAAAGGTTCAGGGAGGACTTAAGTAGAGTTAAGCTCGAAAATAGCCCTATGTTTGTTGGCTCCAGGCATACCCGGAGCCCATCTGCTTCTTTCCATTCCATTACCATCCTGGTCTAAGCCGGTCTCTCCTCAGAGGCCATGCAGGAGCAGAAACAGCAGCAGCCCATTTCTCACCCCCAGCAGCCACCCACCTTGCTCCAGGGTAACCTTTTAAAGTAGCAGTCACTGCCTCTTGCCTGTGGGAAATTCCTCACTAGTTCCTTACCTCACTTATATCAAATTTAGATGTTTCTAGTGAAATCCGAACTCCTTCGTTGGCTCAGTAGACCTGGAGTCTGGTGACTTCATTTTCCTGTATCCTTTGGTGACTTTACTCCAGCCATGAGGACCTGTGTTTGCTTCAGGGGCATCATGCCATCTCCTTCATGCTTCAGGCTCCTTGTCCTGTCACTTCCTTAGATGTTCCTTTTGGCTTTGTGTTGACCTTGGGTCTCTTCCCATTGCTGTCGTCCTGAGGCCCCTGGACCAGTGTTCCAAGTGTGTTCACAGCGTACCAGTGCCCCATTATTATTTAGCTTTGGCTATTTCTTTCTGATCACCCAACACAATTTTAAATTATCATACTCAAGTTTTATTATCATTGCTGTTTTCCTTTTGCGACAGTGTTTTAGGCTAGCCTGGAACTAGCTTCGAAGCCCATGGAGGCCTCCAAGCCAACATCCTTTTGCCTCAGCCTCCCGAGTGGTGGGGTTACAGGTGTTTATTTCTAGTTTCCTTTATTGCCTACCTTCTTTACTGCAACCCTGCTTCCTCTGTGTCCCCAGCCCCAGGCACAGCACCCGTCATATAGTAGACACCAAATTCAACTCCAGAATGATTGAACATGTGATTGACAATTCTGTAAGGTAGAGTGGGGAAGAGTACCACAGAGGCCCTGAGAGAAGTTTGGCAGTGAGGGCTTAAGGGGAAGCCCCCTGGTAGGGGCAATGGTGTGGACACTGTGGGTTCTCAAGGTGAAAGGCACATGGACAGCAGAGCCCTGGATCCAATACTAAAATGGAAACAAGTTCCCCTGCTGAACAGGTCCTGTTCTATCCAGAGGGCGCTGCACTAGCTTCTCCTTGCCCTAGTCGTTAAAAGAATGTGGGACCTAGTGAGGTAAGAACAATGCGTGGCAGCCCCAGTGCTTGTGTGAAAGTGCTTGTGCACAAGAGGCTAGAATTAGGTTGATTCCTATAAGACCCAAGGGCACCTTGCAGACGGAGGAGGAGGAGGAGGTGGAGGAGGAGGAGGAGGAGGAGAAGGAGGAGGAGGAGGAGGAAGAGACGACAGTCTCTTGAGGTTTTGTGTCTGTTCCTGGGACACCTGGCAGGGGCTCCACTTTGGATGTCTCTAGGCTACCACCTATGCCCTCGGCTCTGCAATGTTTACAGATGTCCTTTTCAGCTCCTTCCCTGCATCTGAACTTAGGGAGCTAGATTATAAAAATTCAACCACAGAGTCTGGGCAGTTGAAGGTCCAGCCACATGAGGCTCCCTGGGCCCAATTGGGCCTTTCCATTCTGTCACACTCTGGTCTCACCTGTGCTCACTCCTGTCATGAATAGTCCCTGTCTGACCCTTGTAGGTATCCAGCTTATGACTCAATATATGGAGTATCAAGGCTGAGAGGGACCTTGGAAACCATCAACTTGCAGAAGTGCTGAGAGCCTAGTGCTGCTTGGTTTTGATAGTTTTCATTTCACCCTCATTTGGAGGAGAACCAGACAGAAATAATCCATGTCTCTTCATTGTATTATTAACTATTCTATTGCTGTGAAGGCAACTCTTAGGAGAGATAATTTATTGGGAACTTGCTTACAGTTTCAATGCCCATGGCAGGGAACATGGCAGTGGGCTGGCAAGTACGGTGCTGGAGCAGTAGCTGAGAGTTTGCATCCCAATCTGCAGGCAGCAGGGACTGGGCCTGGCATGGGTTTTTGAAACCTCAGAGCCCACCCACAGTGACACACCTTCTTCAATAAGGCCACATCTACTCTGACAAGACCACACCTCCCAATCCTTCTCAAGCAGTTCCACTAACTGGGGACCAAGCATTCAAACACATGAGCCTATAGGACCTTTCTTCCTTTTGAGTGTGTATGTGTTTATGTGTCTACATGTATGGGTGCATGTATGTGGAGGCCCGAAGCTGACATTTGGGGGTGTCTTTCTTGATCTCTCTTTACCATATCCATTGAGGCAGGTCTCGTACTAAACCTGGAACTTGCTATTCTGGCTAGTCTAGCTGGTTAGCTTGCTCCAGGGATTCGCTGCTCTGTCTTCTGAGTGATGGGATGTCAGTTAGTGACCCTTCCTATGCAGATTTTATGTGGGTTCTGGGGACCCAAATTCTGGTCTTTACACTTGTGTGGCAAACATTTTACCTGCTGAGCCTTTTCCCCAGCCTGGGAAGAATATATTTCTTAATGTTAGGATTTGGAATGCAAAATAAGATCACCCCCAATTGCCTTCTCTTTTGCAGATATAAGGAAGAGAGAGAAAAATTTACTGAAAAAGGCTGGATATGTCCAAAGTGGAAACTCAGCCCTGGCACCCATTGTGTCCACCATGGCCATCGTGTCAACTTTCACTTGCCACATCTTCCTGAAACGCAAGCTCACTGCCCCTGTGGTAAGAGCTTTGTCTAGGTCAGACCACTTTTGCACCCTATCCTTGGCAAGCCCCAGGTGAGAAGCCCCTTGACAACTTTGTCATGCATGGCATTGGAACTCCCAATGATGCCAGGACATTTCACTGGACTAATTAATTAGGGTTTGAGCCCTGGGCCTTGGGCATTACAGGTACAACTGTTACACCTCAGTTTTACTCTGATCTAGTTTGTATATGAGTGCTTGGGCTGACAATACACTCAGGAGAACCTGTCCACCATTCTTACCCTGTCCTTGCAGAGCAGGGGTGGCTTTTAACAGTGAAACACAGTTTAGAGGGAAAACAAGCCAGGAAACCTATCAAGCACTTGGCTGTTTCTCCTCCTGTGGTGTGTGCTACAAACAGTGAACATTAAGGAGAACTCAAAGCAATCAGGCTGAGGTTGGAGTTAGGGTTCCTTTGAGCTTGAGAGCTGAATCTAGCCTGACTTGTGACAGACCATCGGCCATACCTGGCCTTGGTTTCATTATCATTAAGCAGCCTGGTATTAGTTTCCATCAGTGTAGCTAGGAGGAGGGGTGAGTAGTTTTGCATAAATTCAGGGAATCATGGGGTAGGTGGGGGCTTCCATGCTCTCCATTGCCTACTCTCACCCAGGCCAGATGGGTGTGGTCTGAGGTCTCTGAGGGCAAGTGGGATGAATGTAAGGCAAGGGAGCTTTTGACAAGGGAACAGCACAGTCAAAGATAAAGAAATGTTGAGCTGGAGAAAAAATGCCTCTTGGATTTAAATGAAGAAAAGCCCAGCTAAGATAGTGTTTGCATAACAAATAGCTGGAGGAAAGTAAGCAAAAAGCAAGGGAGAAGTGTGTGGGTAAGGATCAACTATAGCTAAGTTCATGGAGGAAACTCAGCATACAAAGCAGGGACTTCAGGGGGAGTCATGGTGAGAAGCAGATGCTTTTGCTGGGCCATCCTCTAATAATTCTATTAACACATGCATTATTTTTGTATGTGAGAGGTGGTTTTATTTTCAGGCTCTTCAGACTGTAACGCTTTGGACCTAGTCATGAACCCAAAGCCATAATGAGTGGCAATAGTGTTCTCTCTGAGTAGAACATTGCTTAATTATTATAATTGCTTTTGATGGTCCCAAAGAATTGTGTGTGTAAAACACACACACACACACACACACACACACAGACACACACACAGTCTCTCTTTCCTCTAGTTCTATTACATCAAACAAAGGAATTTGAAATAAAATGTTAATTTTTCTGACACAACAGTTTAGAAGAAAGCAATATCCAAAACATATTTCTGGATTGGGAATCCTTTTTGTTCCCTTCCTCTGCTAGAGTCATGGCACTTGAGGTTGGCTTCCAGGTCCATCAGTAGCCTGTATACTCTCTGTCTCTGTCTCTGTCTCTCTCTCTCTGTCTCTCTCTCTCTCTCTCTCTCTCTCTCTCTCTCTGTGTGTGTGTGTGTGTGTGTGTGTGTGTGTGTGTGTTTGTGTGTGTGAAGGTGGTTCTTCTTGATTGAGAGAGTTAGGACAAGATGTGATGAGATTATCCATTGTTATCTTCTTAGCAATGTACAATTAGCTCAAACCTGGGGCCTGTCCACATAGCTTGTTCAGCAGCAGACATCACTTGTGATTTGCTGGAGGAAGATGTATAATTAATTTCTCAAATAGAAAGAGGCTGATGGTTGAAATCAGACATGAAAAGATGGCGTTTGAGAGATGAAATCATGTACTCTGGGGTACTAGCAGAAAGGAGAAAGCTTCAGTGAGGCTCTCCAGTATCCAGAGATATTATACTGGACAGGGCTTGGAGGGAAAACCCATACAGTCAGTGACTTTGGAGAAAGATGCTGTGGCCCCAGAGGGTCAGATGTCACAGACTTTCCTACAGCAGAAAATGAGTTAGTCAAATCTGCACAGGGCTCTGAATGAGCAGTCTTGGTCTGAATAAAGCACAGTATGGATGGAGATGTATGAAGTTGTTCAGTTAGGGGATATTCTCCCTTCTGAATGGATAGACAAGGGTATAACATTTCCCATCATTTTTGTGAAAATTCCCAAAGCAAGATAGCTTACAAAGCCACTGCCCCCACGTTACCAACCCATGATTTCTGAGCCATGAAATGAAAAAGCCTTCCTCTGTGAATCCCAACTGTGCCACTGTTTCTTATGTTAGTAAGTATAACCCCCTATGGATAGAGCAGCTTGGAGCCAAAGCAACTTTCAGTCCTAAACCCTCGATCCTCTCTTTCCTTCTTCAGGCATTTAGTGTGATTGCCATGTTTAATGTAATGAAGTTTTCAATTGCAATCTTGCCTTTCTCGGTCAAAGCAATGGCCGAAGCCAGTGTGTCTCTAAGGAGAATGAAGGTATAACTAACACTGGGTGAGTAGGGAAGAGAGCTCATTTCTGGGGGCAGGGGATGCTCATCAAAGGGGATGCTGTTCAGGTCTACTGGAGGGCTGGGTTAGGCCTGTGGCTGCATGGGCATGAAGCTGGGATAGTTAGTGCACAGAAGGGAGAATGAATGGTGAAGGTTTTGAAGGAGGTATGATCTGGAGGGAAAACAAGACAGTGTACTCGCAGAGGGAGCATTCCTAACCTCCATGGCTCACCCATGGCTGTAGCTGTGGGCATGGCCTTGGCACTGAGTCAGCCCTGGTTTGTCCTGTGATGAGTGTGATGGCACACACCACCTCAGGGTCATCATTTAGCCACTATTGGTCCACCAAAGATGATCTGAAATGAAAAGAGAAAAGGGAGAGGTAGTCTTTGTCCTTTGGTGCTCTTGTTCTGGCACAGGGCCAAGTAAGATATGTACCTGGTCAAATGTGAGATGCAAGAAGGCATTTGATAGGTTTGAGGTAAAGACAAAAAGGAGGACATTCTTGCCTACAGAAAGGCAGTTCAGTTATCTGTGAAATCTGGAGTCAGCTCAAGCATCCTGGGTTCTTGCACTTATTTATTTATTTATTTATTTATTTATTTATTTATTTATTTTGCTTCCAAATAGTCCAGAGCCCTATAGAGACTCCAGTTACTGTCCTCTCAGTGAGGAGAGGCACTCTTGTAAGACTGGGATGGCAGACACACACTGTTGGCCACTTACAGGTACAAGAGTCAACAGTGCTTCATTCACTCTGTATATCACCTTGCTCTAAACAAGAAAAGGTGTTGTAGATTCAAGGAAGAGCGTTACTTCTTGAATCCTCAGCCTCCACACTGTCCCATCACCTCCATTAAGGTCTCCATCACTTGTTCTCTGAACTCACAGTGATTTATAGACCAGCTCTCCATTTCCAAAACTGCCTTCAAATCATTATTACAGTCAGTTCCCACAGAGCTGCTAAATTGCTGGCATGCCAGCCAGCACTCACCTGCTGGGATCTTCGAACTCCTGTCTCTTCCAGGACTGCACTTGAGCCCTTATCACTGGCTCCTCAGTTTCTCCACGTTTGTTTTGCATTCTGTGATTCAGCAATCCCAGATGGCTTCTTTCATGCCCTGACCACCTACAAGAACACCTCCACCTCTCTCCCCCACCTACCAGACCATGCTTTGCTTGCTTCCTTGTCTGCCATGTGGCATTGACCCATGTTTCCTGCTCTCTCCTCTCCCTCCTTTTTTTTTCTTTTTGTCTGTGTGGCACCTACACAGACTTAGCTCAGGTGCCAGACACATGGACCTCCAGGAAGGGGAGTCATGTGTCCCTCCTCTGGCCATTACAGTGTTGTGTTCTTGTCACACTTCACTGCACTGATCTGCTCATGTCCCCTTCTCCTCACAAACAATTTTTTCAAGGTCAGGAGCTATGCCTTATTTGTGTGTGCATTTCTGCTTTGTACCATTCAGTAACATGCAAGTGTTTTGTTGAGCTGAGTGGGGAAGAGGACAGAGAGACTGAACAAGAGGACCTTGGCTTCCTATGTGTCAGTGTCATATACAGTGAAGCCCGTCCCCCCATGCCAGAGGTGCAGATGAGGATGAAGTGTAGCTAGATCAGCATTCTCCAATGTGGGTGACCCACATAGGCCTCAGGGTTAAAAGACACCTGTCCCAGATAGTTTGAGTCAGTGGACTATTTCTGCTTCAGCACTCCTGGGGGAATAACTTCTGGTCAGTCCTGCATGTCCTAGGTAGAAATGCCAAGATTCTAATTTGGGGTCATTAGAAGATAGATGAATTAGGAGGATTCTTGCAAATGGATGACATCTGCCCATTTACTGTTGTCTCTTAAATCTTAGAAAATTCTCATAGCTAAAAGTCCCCCATCCTACGTCACCCAACCAGAAGACCCAGATATTATCTTGCTTTTAGCAAATGCCACCCTGACATGGGAACAAGAAGTCAACAGGAGACGTAACCCTCTGAAGGCACAAGATCAGAAAAGGCGTTTTTTCAAGAAGCAGAGGCCAGAGTTATACAGTGAGCAAAGCCCATCAGCACAGGGAGTTGCTAGCCCCAAGTGGCAAAATGGCAGCCCCAAGTCTGTTCTACACAACATCAGCTTTGTGGTGAGAAAGGTGGGTGTATCAGTCAGCTTTGTCTTATGGTAGTGGAATATCTGGGAGTCTGGGGAGATGGCTCATTGGTGAGGCGCTTGCCATACAAACCTAAGGACTTGAGTTGAGAGCCCCAGTACCCACATAAAAAGCCAGGTACAGCCAACTATGAATGCCTGTAATCCCAGCACTGGGGAGGCAGGGACATGGGGATCCTTGGGACTTGCTGGTTGCTACAGCCAAATCAGGTTCAGTGAGACACTCCATATCAAAAAATAAGGTAAAAGGTGACAGAGGAAAAACTCCATGTTTACTCTGGTTTACACTGGGGATAGGGTGAGAAGGGAGTGAGAGGAGATAGGGGGAAATGGGGAAGAGGGAGAGAGAGGGAGAGAATTTTGACTCAGTTTTAGAGGTTACGGTTTACGATCAGGCTGTGGGCCTCTAGTGAAGGCAGTCCAACCACTACTCCATTTTATGACTGAGAAAACTGAGGCACAAGACAGCCAGGAAGTGGGAGGGCAGGGGTAGACTGTACACTTATGGCACTCAATCAATCTGTATTCTTTGTTCACTTTAAGACAGGTTCTGAGTATAAGGTCCAGGCTATTCAGAAACTCATCTTCTTCCTGCCTCAGCCTCTAGTCTGTACTCTGCTTCCCGTCCCCCTGTACTCTCACCTACCACAAAACACTGCTTTTGTACAAAACATGGTGCAATGTTTTTTGTTTGTTTAACTAGTTTAAACTAGGTGGGACTGAGCTCACCAAGCCAGCCAGGCACCACGGTCCATCCTTCCCTCAAGAGTGAGAATTGTAGCACCGTTAGATGAAGCTGTGGATTTAGGGAGCACTTGGCCTCCTCTTGCTCCTCCTGCCCTGTGTCTTGCTGCGTTTGGTTCTTGGTGGTGGCACTCCAAAGGTGGTGCTGATTTTGCTACAGCAGGTTCAGCATTAATCTTGCATCTAGTGATGTAATCTCCCACCTCGTTGATTGCTTTCCCCTCCACAAATACTGCAGAAGGAGAAGCCTGATAGCTGAAGACTGGCCTCTCTTGCAGCTAACAAACCATCTGCCATATGCCCCCTGGAATTGGTATCTAATGTTTGGTGGGCCCAGTGCCACTGAGCTCAAGTCTCAGTTGTGTTTTGCTGCAGTGAAATCACTTCTTTCTTGTAGCTCTGCCCTGCCTCTGGGGGCAGCATCCCAATTTCTTCAGACAGCTTAGAAAACGGTATCATCTAAGGAAACTGGTTTTTGTTTTTGTTTTCAGTTCTCCAATTGCTTTTCTCCATACTATCTTAGGTATATGGTAATATCTGGATTTGGGCATCTGTAGTTTTCTTTGGGCCACCAGCTCACAAAAAAATGACATGGAGACTTATTAATTATGAAAGCTTGGCCTTAGCTTAAGCTTGTCTTGCTAGTTCTTATATCTAAAATTTAACCCATTTATTTTAATCTGTGTTCGGTTATGTGGCTCATTACTTCATCTTTATGTACTGCCCTCTCTATATACTCCATGTCTGGCCTTCTTCCCAGAGTTCTCTTTCTCTGTCTGCCCAGAAGTCCCGCCTATCTCTCCTGCCTAACTATTGGCCATTCATCTTTTTATTACACCAATCACAGCAATACATTTTCACAACACACATCAAAAGGCACAGGTAGCATTGTGTGAAGTAGTTCCAGGCCCCAGCCACTTACAGCTACTTTACCTCAGGCACATTGAAGAGTCTGTCTCTTTTCCTGTTCACTTCACAAGGTGGTTGTGAGAACAGAGAAACTACACACACAAAATGCTTATTAGCTCATGGTGTGTTTCAGCTGCCATTAGCAACCGCTGCCCTCTTTTCCCTTTAACAAGCACGGCTGGCTTAAGTGTTGCCCTTAAAAGTTCTAAATTCAGGCCGTCTGAGTTTCTCCAAATTTAGCTCCTTGATTCCATTAGATGCTGTCCTCCAGGATGAGATCAGGGCATGCTATTCTGAGTTATGCCCTGAGCCCCAAGCCCACGCCTGGTGCAAGATTCTTAATAATGTTTGGTGAGTGAGAAATAAACAATGAAACACCCAGAAGATGCAGGCTTCCTGGAGAAAAGAATGGGCCTAGGAAGCTCTTACCTGGACCTAACAATGGCTAGGACTCATCGGAGGCTTATAGGGAGCCTGTATGAAGCTGGCCCACATCAAGCCTCCATAACCAGCCTCGTCATCTTGAAGTGCTACTGTGATTCAGAGTGTCAGCCTCATATACTTGCAACTTTGACACTGCGGGGTCCATGGAGGCAGTGACTGCATCTGTCCTGATCGTGGCTTATTCCCAGTGCTTAGTATGTTTTGTGGCATTCCACAGAGATGAGTCACAGAAGTTATGGATGACAGGCAGCAAGCCTCGTGCTAAGAATGGCACAAGGTGATGAGCGTGTCTAATCTGGCTTGGGATGGGAAAGGAGTTACATCCAGTTCCATGCTGAATGCATCTCTGTTCTAAAGGGTTGCAGGAGATCTATTTGCAAATGTTCTAGAATGTTCCACATGCAACCTCTGTTTAAACACAGAAGCAGACAGGCTATTTCCCTCTGGAGTTACCCCAGAGGCCTATGTGACCCCTGCCTTACCTCTTCAGGTCTTATTCAATGTCACTTATGACAAGTGCTGTCCATGGCTCATGTGCCTGGGACCTTTAAGTGTACTTGTCCATCTTCCACCCACAGAGTCTAAGACTTTGACAGGTGTTGAAGGGGTTCTGGGGTGCTGGGGTACCATACAAATCTGTGCTTACTTTCCTAGAGTTGATGGTGCTTCCCTGCAGCCTGGAGCTTCATTTGCCTTCTGTGTGGGCTAATTTACCAGAGCATGGTTTTTGGGTGTCACTCTTTACCCAAGTCATTCTTTTCTCTCCCAGTGCTGCATGTATTTCCCCAATTGCTTTCACTCAAACTCTCACTCAGCTTGTGTTTCTGGGCCAGCACAAGCGAATACACCAGCTTTCTTTCTAGTAAATTTCTCTTGTACCTCCATTTCCGCCTACTCATTACCTTATCCACGAGACGTACTTGGCAAACTCAACACTTCAGTTGTTCCCCTTCTGTCCATCTCCAACTAAAACATAAGCTCTGTGGGGGCCAACACAGGATTCGCCTGTTCATCTTCTGGGTGGCTGGGATTTCACTGGGATCTAGAATTTGCCCCCATGGTGACCCTAGAGTCTGGGTGACTGCTGGTGCTCAGAACAATGCCTGCTGTGTCACAGGTACTTGGTGACAATTTGATGGCTGAATTGACACATCTACAGCTATAAAGTCATTCTGTGGAAATAGTGAAAAAAACAAAAACTTGGAGTTCTAAATTGAGTTGTTATGATAAAAGATTTCTTTTAAAAACGATTTGTGAAATCACCCAGCTCTCTATATTTCAAAGACATCCCATGTCCCCCTTGGTCACACCCCCTTTAACTGTCATTAGACTCACTTCTCCAGTCTCTGGGCACAAGACGGCCCTTATATCTGAGACCTGTGTCTCCAAAACTGGCACAAGGCTGTTTTACATTAACGTGTGAACAGGATTTCTAGATTTCCAAAAGCCCTCTGGGCTCTCTGCTTGCTGCACCAGGGAAGGCTCTTAATTAAAACTCACATCACTGCAACCTTCCAAGCTGTGCATAGACTTGGGGGCTGAAGCTGCAGCTGCCACCTTGTAGAGGTAGCAGTAGCCTCTTGTCCTGCCTGGCCTGTTCAGCACAGAGCCCAAGCTCCCCCTGACAATGTCAGGGAGTAATAGCCTTATCTCTCTCTGTGACAGGGGAAGGTCTTGGGAATATGCGGGAATGTTGGAAGTGGGAAGAGTTCCCTCATCTCAGCTCTCCTAGGACAGGTAAGTGTGGTGAGAGCTACAAAGACTACATTGATGGAAGAGGGGAAGGATTTCCTTGCTTTAGACTTTGGGGACTTAAGCAGCCTGTAGAACAGGGATCATGTTTGGCTGCACATGGTTAACATGAATGTTGCTGATGACTCCCTTGGATTGATGCATTTGGCAGCTCCAAGCCTGGCTAGACATGGCCCAAGGTTTTCACACATCTTTGGGTTTACCTCCCAAGAACAGGAGTTAAACAGCGATGGCTTCCTTTTGGCTCCATGTTGGTCCAAATAAGTGATGGGTCATTAAATCTGTGGCTTCTCTAAAGGCTGTCCTGCTTTATAAAATCCAGAAAAGTGGCTTGCTAGAAAATGAAGGAACTGGAACTCATGGCAACTTTCGATGAATTTTTGATTGTTTCCAAAACCCCGAGTCCTGCCTGAGAGCCTTGAGGAAGGGACTGAGTGAATGCATAGAGACAGAAGTATGACCCAGCTGCTCTGAACACTTTGTATAGGAAGAGGGAGGCTCCTAGATCTTGACCTGTTTTTGCTACCTAGCTGTGACACCTTAAGCATGTGGTAACGTGACATACTATAGTCATTGATGGCCTTCATATTGCCGTGTTTTACGAGCTCCAGTAAGACATGTTTTGAGGAGGTTGGGGAATTAACTCTTCCTTCTGTCTAGTGTTGTTCCTAAAGGGAAGATGGATTGAGCTGGGGCTCCCTCCCATTGTTAAAGAATTTGGGGGAACCCCTGAAGGGATAAAGAAATGAGGCTCAGCAGGGCCCCACCAGAATGGGGGTGTGAGTCTTGTGAGTGCCAATGTGATTGATTTCTTTGGCTTCCCTTGACTCTGCAGGGAGAGTTACTATGACTACTCTTCTTAGACTTGAGGCAGGGCCTGGGTCGGTAGGCTCTGGCACCTAAGTATGTGTACTTCTGTGAGGACCCTAGAGTAAGTGGCGCACTGGAAACCAGCCCTACTCTCCACCTATCAGCACAGGTCTTCCGACAATGTAGGCGATGACCCAGGCTATGTTCAGACTTCCTGCACTGGGCAGCTTATTCATTCACTGCCAGTCCCTTTTTGTGGTGTGTTGATTTCTATTGGAAGGAAACTGGCCTCCTTTTAAAGTCGACCCTCTGGTTTGTTCCTTGGGTAGTTCCTCTATTTACTTTTTACTATTTGTTCCTCTATTTACTTCTCAGAGTAAATAGAGCCTATCTTCCATAAAACAGTGATGAAATCGGGTGGTTTTCCATGACCAGGGGAGAGATAGAGTGGCATGGGGGTTAAGCCAGTGGGTTCTAGTGTAGGGGACAGTAAGCCATACCTGTTAGAGGCTGGCTACAGGTGTTCCTGACCACGCCTGTCAGGGCATGGTCAAGGTGAGGTCAGGATGATGCATGATGGGTTCTTAAGGGGCAGCAAAGCTCAGTCGGTAGAGCATGAGACTCTTAATCTCAGGGTTGTGGGTTCCTGCTCCATGTTGGGTGCCATGTATAATGAGAGCCAATCTGTAGTCCATATGGTTAAGATATCTTTATTCAGATAAACACCAGCCAAATGCAAGCCAGAGCATGCCAGGGCAGAAAGGCAGCCAGGCCAGAGAGAGAGTTAGAGGCTCCCATGTGCTTTGCCGCCCCTTAAAAACCCATCATGGGTCATCTTGACCTCACCTTGACCACACCCTGACAGGCACACCTGTAGCCAGCCTCTAACAGGCATGGCTTACTGTCCCCTACATTCTAGGTTGTGGGGGTACACCACTTTGTCTCAGTTGCATGTTCACCATTTCCCTTTGGACAAAGAAATGGACCTCTCTGGACTGTGTCATCTACAAGATGGCCAAGGAGATCTGTGGCAAGGATTAGCAAAGGGAATGTACACACCAGCCAGAGCTGAGTCCTCCAGAGCTATCACAATGTCAGCTGGCTCAGCACAGTGCCTGGAAGGCACCTGCTATTTCTAGAACTGCTCTTGCTAATATTATCACCTCTTTTCCAAGTCTAACTCCAGGCCCCTTCAACCATTCCCAAGGTTTTCAAAATAGCACAGCACCATGTGACACTTTCCCTGCTCACCCACACTGTCACCGCCCCATAGTCTTTGGCCCCAAGGGTCATGCATTCCCCTACAAATCCCCTCTGCTGATTGGGTTAGTCATTTATCACCACTCCTGTCTACCATTATCTTGTCAGAAGCACACATTGTGGGGTCAGCTTAAGTGCCTATGTATACTCAGCATCACAAACTGGGCCTCACATGTTTTCTAATTGGATTGCTCAGTGTTATCAAGGTCCTAAAGTTCCACATGAAACTGGGTTTCCCACTCTTTTTGAAAAAAAAAAAAAGAGTTCTGTGCAACTGAGTCAGAGCTACTTTTTTGAAGTGGGGGCATACCTGAGCCTCTATCCCAGGGAGAGAGGCTGTGCTCTTCTCCCAGGAACCTGGCTAGGGAGAGTTGGATCCATTCAGCACACCTGGTGGAAGGGGGTGGAGTCTTGTTACTCATCATTAAGACATCATGCTGTAGTGGGCCCAGGAGCTGAGGTCAGTGTAGGCTGTACCCTCCAGTTGGCAGCAGGACTCATTACTTCCCGTTCCCTAAATGTCCTGCCTACTCCTTGCAAATGTCCTGTCTAGAGATCCTCGACTGCACAGTTGGGCTTACAGGGTGTGGGTCTGTCAACTCCTTTATATCCATGTGACTAGTGCTCATGCAATAAGAGGGTGGCATTTGGGAGAGACCCTGGAATGCATCTTCTAAGGTTCTTTCCTTACTGTTTCTCTAGATGCAGTTACAGAAAGGGGTTGTGGCTGTCAATGGACCTTTGGCTTATGTTTCTCAGCAAGCATGGATCTTCCATGGGAATGTGAGGGAGAACATACTGTTTGGAGAGAAGTACAATCACCAAAGGTATTAGCTTGGAATGTATCTGGCACTGTGGTAGTTGGTCCACCCTACATAAGATGCTGATGCCTCTAGGAATGGTTACTGAGTGGTTTTCTTTAAGGAGTGTTGATCCACCCAGGAGCTAGATTTTCTTTTTCTGACCCAGGAGTTCAGGGGAAGCATGTTGTTCTGCAGACCTGTGACCATGTGGCATGCCGAGAAGAGGACATAGTTGTCATTTCATTCCTAGGGCAGAATCCCATATGCTCTGAGGTTCTCCATAACAGGGCATATGCTGTCTGACTGAAGAAAAATGAATCTTACAATTTTGATTTAGGCCAAGAAGCTAAAACTTTGCTTGGGATTATGAACAGAAGGCGTACAATTAGTCAGTCCTGACATGATCAATTCACAGGGGCACTATCAAGGTATATTGTTGTTAGTGTCCTCAGATGGCCCAATGACATAACATCAAACTTCTGGTTCTAGATCTTTGGTACATGCTGGGTCATTATCTTTAAGTTCTGGGAAGTGCCATCCTCCTAGGTCTGCTTGCCTCAGATGAGTCCCATACAACTTGTGTAGGGAGACTACCCATTTCACTGATGGGGAAGATGAAGTTCAGAGCTGTGAGTTGACTGCCACAAAGCTTGAGTCTTGGACCTTGTGCCCTAGTATCCAGCATCACTTGTTTCCATTGAGGCCGCCTGACAGCAGGCTCACTCAAAAACATTCTCAAACACCACAGGACTGAAGTAGGAAGAGTCAGACTTGGGAATCCAGTTGCAGTTTGGGCTTCTCTTATTATCTGAGCTCACAGACCTCATACTCCATGGGCTGGCATTGGCCAGCAAGTGTATTCCCAGCAGGAAGTCTGTGGCTCTTTCTCCTCTTTCCCTCAACAGAAGGCTCACATATAACAGAAAGTTCTGATCAGGGATGGGAGTCCTTGGCATGAGCCAAACTGCTCTGCTCCTTGTCTCATGGCCACACCCCTTTTTGCCTATGCCTATGCCATCCCTCCCTGGAATACCTTTGCTTTCCATGGTTACCTAATTTATCAATAAGGAGGCTAAGATAGCAAATATTCACCAGGGTTGTGGAGGCACTGCCCTTGCGACAAGGCAGCTTGCCAGAGAGCCTTGAGCATAGCAGCAGCACGATCTTCCCCCTGTCCCCTCAACAACAGCAGTTCCTTCAGGAGCAGCGAGGCAGCAGTGCTGTATGCTAGTCTTACCATTCTCACCTGTGTGCCCACAGGTACCAGCACACAGTTCATGTCTGTGGTCTCCAGAAGGACTTGAACAGCCTCCCTTATGGAGACCTGACTGAGGTGAGCAGAACTGAGTCCCCTTTGCCCAGTTGACTCTGGATCTATATCTACATGTCCCAGAGACAGAAAGTCCCAAGGAAATGTTAGAAAAGTCCAATTTCTGCCTGTCAAGAATTCTTTGGGGTCCACCAAGTGGAGGGGAACCCAAGCCTACTTGCGTTTGATTCATCATGGTTGCTTCTACAGCCTGCTCCTAACTTTTCCATCATCTCAGGAAGGGTTCCTGGACAACTGCTGCCTAAACTCAAGGTCCACCTGTATCCTCAAATCAATGGTCCAGAGTGTGCCACATACTTGGAAGTCTCTGGCCTCCTTCTTGTTCATGGCTCCATGCAGCCCAGGAATGCTGAGTCATCTTCAGACATTACCCCTAGGCTGATTGTCCTATGTTGAGCCTGTTGACGCAGGCAACACAGAGCCCTTGAGATCCCCCCCCCCCATCACATCATGCCTCTAGCAATCTTTCCCACAGTGCCAGCTCAGAGAACTGGCTCTTCTAGTCTCTCACTCTGCTTGTCAGGAGGGCCTGGCCTGTCAGGAGTGGCTGGCCTATTCTGAATGTACATGTGGCTCTGGCTTCCCGTTCCCTCCTTGGAATGTCCCACAGTGGGCAGTAGTTTGTCACCAAGTGCTGCAATTAATGTCTCTTGGTTAGCACTTGGTGAATATGTTGACTTCTGTTTTTGTATGTCTAGTGCACCCCCCCCCCTGCTAAAATGTGAGATCCTGGTTCATAGGTCTCTTTTCTTGTCCAGCACCAACACCTAACTCAGTAGCTGGGCACCTGAGGAGGGTGGGAATCATTCTGGGCTCAGGAGGATGGGATTCCCAGAAAAACATAACCTAGGCTTTTCATCTTGTAGCAAATGTTTGCTGAGCATATAATCCATGCCTCAGATCAGGTGCTGGGTCTTAGAGATTTGGTGAGCAAGATAGCACATGTCTTGTCTTTATGGCACATACAGTTACATACAAGGAAGTAAACAGAGGGGTCCTTGGCCCATCTCCCAGGCACTTTCCCTCCTTTTCACTATCCGTTCTAGAGTTCCGTGCTTAAAAAAAATCTCCTTTGTGTTATCAGTCAATGTACAGTGGACTATGCACTGGGAAGCAGGAGGCATGCAGTAGGCCCCCCTTATTCAGTAGGCTTCCCTTGCTCAGTCCCATCACAACTGGCACTGGGCTTCAGTGGAGTGAGGGAGATGGAGTTCTTCCAGTCAACCACTGTCCGGTGTGAGGGGTGGAGGAGCTTGTGAGCAGAGGTAATCAGCCAGTGTGTGAGACCCAGGGAACTTTAGGAAGCTCCTGGTATCCAAGAACTAGAGGCTGGCAGGTGGACTTAATGATGGGCTGTGCCATTATCCCTGTCTACAGATTGGCGAGAGGGGTATCAACCTCTCTGGGGGACAGAGGCAGAGGATCAGCCTGGCCCGTGCTGTGTATGCCAACCGTCAACTGTACCTGCTGGATGACCCACTCTCGGCTGTGGATGCCCATGTGGGGAAGCTTGTCTTTGAGGAGTGCATCAAGAAGACACTCAAGGGAAAGACTGTTGTCCTGGTTACCCACCAGTTGCAGGTGACAGGGACATGGAGGGTCCATGAGGTCCGGGGATGAGTGCAGGCCTTGATGCTCATAGAGACTCCTCTTCTTCCTACATTTGCCTTCCCCACCTGAAACTGGCCTTACCTGGGCAGGGGACGAGAGGGCAGGGATGAAGGAGACACTGGGTGTACCCTGCAGCCACCCTAGCTTCCAGCCACCCCTGCCTGCTTTTCCCTGTGTGTGACTCCACAGGCCTATTCTTTGGAGTCAGTGGGGACATGACCTTTCATCTACCACGGAGTAGATTCTCCAGGATCAGTTGTCTCTGAGAGCTAGGCCATTGGTGCCAAGAGGAGCCAGATGGCAACAATTCAAGCCCTACCCTTTCTCCAATGGGGACTGGATGGGCCTACGGTCAGAGGTCTGCTTGCTTTCTTCGTCCAGAAAGTCATGGACTCCTGTGATGAGGGGTCCAGGTGCCCCAGTCTTCCCTCAACCCAGGAAAGGCTCTGGAGGCCAGGAGAAATGGAGAATTAGGTTGTATGGTCATAGACCTTGTTGCATCTGTCCCACATTCAGGTTCAGAACACTTGATGGGAATCTGGGATTCCTTTTTTACCCAATATAATCCAGGCCTCCCCTCTCATGCTGTCTCTCTCTACTCTCTCCATGGCAAGTCCTGGAGATATGCTGCGTGTGTAAGCACATGCAAGAGTGTGTAAGCTCATGCATGAGTGTGTGCACATGCATGTGTGAGTGCCCCAATGTAGGATGCATCCCATAGGCATTGGGAGATGGCCCATCTTTGACACTCACTAGCCGGAGGGGGGGGGAGGAAGGGGGGGAGTAGGTCTTAGGCAAGCTAGTGTTCTCCCAGGTTCTCCAGCAGCATACCTTACCAAGGTCATTTTAGCTCACATTTTTGCTTGTTGGAAAACAAAGAGGCCACCAGGTGGCACCATAATCTTGGTACGCTCTTCATCCCATTCTTTGTGGGGGAGGGGAGGAAGCCTCAAACTGCAGCCGGGGCTTTCCAGAACATTTCTTAGCTGCTTTGACCTCAGATGCTTTGGAGTAGCTGGTCAGGACAGTCACTCATCTGTGTACTTGGGGAAACAAAGCAAGCCCAGCAGCCAGCTGCTGGTACCTGTTCAGGGCTTAGCTTCTTAAGTGTTTGCAGAGCTTGGCTGAGCAAAACTACCTGTACCACTGGAGTGAATTGAGGGCTTGCTGGCAGGAGGGACCTTTGCTGGGCCCTTCCAAGTTTGGGCTGTGGACCTCATACAGGCAGAAAAGCCTGTGGATTTTAACAGGCCCTAAGTGCTCCCTTTCCTTATCTGGGAAATCGATGGCTTAACCAAGCTTCTTGAGCTGGGGGCTGCAGGAGGTCCAGAGAGATAAGATGTGAGATCAGGCTGTGAAACATTAGAGGATGATGTGTGAAGTGCAAGTTTGTCTTTCAGGAAAGGTACTGTCAGAAGGTGTCTCCACTGGGCACTAAGTGTCAGGTTCCTGCTTGGGCTGCCTGCTTGGGCTGCTTGCCTGCTTGGGAAGGGGTCTAGTCTTGGATAGGGGACACACAAAGGCTGTTGGAACCACTCTGGTTGAAGCATTTGAGCACCACATACCCCATCAAGAGTACAACCCTCTGTGGTAGACCCTGCTTCTAGAATTTGAATTAAATGCAGCCAAGTGGGCTTTGGCCTTGAGTGGAGTGGAAGTGCAGAACGGGAACTCAGGCCCTAGCTTCTTTAGGTAGAACTGTTGCCAGTTTTTTTTTTTTTTTTTTTTTTTTGCAATTTATTTATTTATTTTTTATTTGAATTACAAACAAGATTGAATTACATGACAATCCCAGTTCCCTTCTCCCTCCCGTCCTCCCCTACCACCCCCCCAACAAAACCCCTACCTATCACATATCCTTTCTTCTATTCTTCCCCTGACTCAACCTTTCTGCTCCCTCATGACCTCTGCATTCTTCCTTTTCTTCCCTTCTCATTCCTGTTTCCAGTCTTACATCATCTTACCTGTCACTACTTAGTGCAGGGCTTTCTGGCCTCTGATGGGTGGCTCCAACTGGGAAGTGCTTTTCCTTCTTCCAAAATAAAAGAGGGTCTTTCTTAGCAGAATTCTTTAATCACAGGACTGACATGGACGTGAAGGGTCTCAGAATCAGAAAAGCAGAAATGATTTGGGTAAAACAGGGTGAAGAATATTGTTCATACAGTTATTGTAATGTTAAAGTTGGTGGGGGTGTGGCCTGTGACACGGTTTCTATTCCCTGGGCTCAATGGGGTGGGGCTTCTGGCAAGGCTAAGATCACGTTTCCTATCTTTACCAAACCTCTATAATGGTCAATCAGATTTCTTAGTAGAGTAGCTCCTTCAGAGAGAAGAAGCAAAGGAAGGTTCAATTGCTTCATTGTGGCAGCCAGAGTCCAGCTTCTGTACTCAAGAGACTGGGGACTAGAGCTCAGTGGTTTTCAACTGGAACCCCCTGGGGCATTTGACATTTGCTTGTCACACTAGGGGAAGGCTGTCTCCTGGTGGGTAGAGACCAGAGACACTGTGAAATAACCTACAATGCATGGGACAGCCCCACAGACACGGAATTATTTGCCCTCTAATGCCAATAGTGCCAGGATTGGAAATCCAAGTAGCTCAATGCACCTGGGAGAGTGGATGGGCTTTCTGCTCTTACCGAAGCAGTACAGTGTCATTGTGGACCCCTGTACTGTTTCTGCAGTTCCTGGAGTCTTGTGATGAGGTCATTTTGTTAGAAGATGGAGAGATTTGTGAAAAGGGCACCCACAAGGAGTTGATGGAAGAGAGGGGGCGCTATGCAAAGCTGATTCACAACCTCCGAGGATTGCAATTCAAGGTAACTGTGTGCCTACCCATGAGTGGGACTAAGAGCCTTGCCTCATGACTTCCCGACTCGGAGAAGTCTGCCATTGAACTTTCAGAAGTACTTCCATTTTATCTCCAGGATCCAGAGCACATTTACAATGCAGCCATGGTGGAGACCATGAAGGAGAGTCCAGCTCAGAGAGATGAAGACAATGGTACAGACTGACAGGGCCCCTCCCTCACTGTCCCTGGGTCCCGAGTGGACAAGAACCTTTTCATTTACTTATTATACAATTTCTCATCCTAGTCTTGGCTCCAGGTGATGAGAAAGATGAAGGAAAAGAACCTGATATTGAAGAATTTGTAGATATAAAAGGTACTTAGCATTCTCTCCCTTGGTTGTGTACCCTGGTGTGCTTGCTGGGCATCCACTATCAGGAGAGAAGAATGGAAACACAATGTATTACTCTGAGATGCTAGGGTTGTGGTATGTTGGAGTGTGAGCCTGTGCTGGGTAATGCTGACTGTCAGCTTGATTGGGCTGTGAAGCCTTTTGAAGAAGTAAAGACCATTACTGGGTTCTTTCTGAGGACATTCCTGGAGACAGTTACCTACAAGGAAAACCCACCCTAAATAAGGGCAGCATCATCACCCAAATGGGGGGCCCAGATGGAATAAAAGGGGAAAAGAGGACATGCTTATTAGTGCTTCTCTCTCTCTCTCTCTCTCTCTCTCTCTCTCTCATTCTCTCTCTGTCTTTTCTTTGTTTCCTGGCCACCATGAGCAAGAAATTTGACACTTTTAATAAATTTATTTTTTGAGATTATAACACAATTACATCACTTCCCACTTACCTTTCCTCTATCCAGACCTCCCATGTGCCCACCTCCCTGTTCTCTTTCAAATTTATGGCTTCTTTTCCTTTGCTTGTTGTGTGTGTGTATTCCTGAATATAAAAATTCAATCTGTTCAATCCACATAATGTTACTTGTATGTACATGTTTTGAGGCCTGGCCCTTTGGACAACTAGATGCTGTGCTCTTGGTAGGGGAAGACTATGTCTCCTGCTCTCAGCACTCCTAGTTGTCTGTTCTTTGTGCAGGGCTGAGCTTTTCCCTTCCATGATAGCCTGTCTCTTAGTGTCATCCTTATTCAGGTCACTGGACACTCTCAGCCTCAGTTTCTTAATCTACAAACCAGGGAAATAATAGAGTCAACTCTGGAGAATCATGAAAAGTTTAAATGAGAAACTGTTTGTGAAGCTATTTCCATGGGTTACTTTCAAGAGCACATGGAAACGATCTAGCGGTCAGAGACAGCCCAAGAGCCCCCACTTTTCACAGGGAGCCTTGAAAAGTGTAGTTGAGCAGGAGAGGGAATGGAGGCTGGGTCAGGTTACACATCCATTCAACAAATAGGTTCTAGACATCGCTCTGAGTACCAAGTCCTGAAATAGGCTGGGAGGGAAGAAGCCTGTGTTCACATTTGATTACATAGCCTGGTAGTGGTCACAGGGGCTGTGGCAAACTGGGGTAAAGGTAATGGGAATCTAGCATGGAGGAACAGCTAGGCTATGGGAGGCCCCCAGAGGGGAGGTTCTTCCTAGGGGTAATGAGAAGAGAAGATAGGGGAGCATTCGGGGGAGAAGGGCTTGAAGGAGAGGGTATGAGAAAATTCTAGGGAAGAGGAAGTAGAGATGAGACTGACCAGGGACAGCTATTGAGGCTACCTCTTTTCTTTAGAATGCCACTATCCATCCGTTGTCCCAGGGCACAAGCTCTGTGCCTCAGACTGTTTATGGGCAGGGATCACAAGTCTTCAAAGTGCCCACAGTGGTAGGATAGCTTTCTGCTAGAGTCCCCATCCTCACTTGTCCCGACCCGCAGGATGTCAACCTGGGGCAAGAGAGTCAGGGATAGGGAATGGGAACAAGAGACACAGAAAGAACAACCACAAGACAGGATTCTGATCAAGTGGCAAACTTTATTTTTCTCAGGCTAGCTTATATAGTCAGTAGAGCAGGATGTGGGGAGGGGTAGAATGGTTTGTTTGGGAGCCAGGTGTTAGTGTAGGCAGGACATTAGGAAGCCACAAAGAGGAAGTTTGGCAGGGTAAAGAGTTCATGTGTAAGAGGTCCAGGAAGGTTGCCTAGGTGACCAAGCCTGTGGGTGGAGGACTGGGTTAAGTTGTTTCTTTTCTTGAGCTGAGGTTCTAAGGAGCTGCTATGTAAAGGTTAATATACAACTATGTGGCCGGCCAAGAATGGCCTAGGATCTCATGCCAAAGCCCTGAGATCTTTGGCTCCCAACACTCACTAATGAGAGGAAGAAACACACACACACACACACACACACACACACACACACACCACCCCACATACATGCATGCATGCATGCACGCACACACATTTTGGAACAGCATGATGGCACAGGCCTCTAATTCCAGAATGAGGGAGGCCGAGCCAAGAAGATCCTGAGTTTGAGGTTTGCCTGGGTGACTATAGCATACACTATTTCTGAGACAAAACAAGTAAACAATCAGAAGCCAAGACTACACAGCAGCACACTGAAGATGCCATTCATCTTTGCAGCTCACCACCATTTTATATATCATTTAGAAGGGAACAAAACAAAACAAAACTCTGCCAACTGAATGGTAGCACCTATCAAATGGATGCACATCTGGGTTTCAGAATGTTAAAATGTGAGGAAAAAAATCTTGAGTCACTGGAATATGGCACTGTTAATGCTGCCTGCGACACATGAGCACACATTTGGGAAGACAACTTACTTTTATGGACTGTGAGTCTTCCTGGACCAAAGGGAAATACCAAATACCTCTCCCATACTTTGGAGGAGACTCCAGGCTGCTCACCTGCTATCTTATATGCTCACTACCCACCCTTCTCTGGACAAGAAAGTAGAATGTGAAACATCACTGGAGACAAGACCCTGTCTCCCAAGGTTAGCTACTGAGATGTGGGGTGCTAGAAGGGCAGGGCGCACACTTAATGCTGTGCTGCCCTCCGCACCCACCATTGGAGTGTTTTCTAAAGATCAGGAAAAGCCCAGAAGGGTGCCAGCCAGTTCCCTGGACGGGCTGGCAGGCTGAAGGGACTGTTAACCATTTGTGCCTTGGGTTGCCCTCACAGGCTGCCTTTCCCTCATTTTGCAGCACTGAGAAGGGAGTGGAACATTCCAAAGCAGCTTGCAGGCTCCCAGGCAGAGCATGGGGGGGGGGGGGAGGCTCTGTCCATTTGGCACCTTTGAAGTAGAAAAGAGACCATGTGTAACTTTCCCCACCCCATCCACCTGTCCTGTCACAGCAGTACATGCAGCCCAGCTGAGCTTGGGAGTTCTCAATGGATATAGACTAATTGTACACTCACTTGCATCCTCTGTTTAAGGTTCAGTTCTGGGAGCCAGCACAACCCTGGACTCCCAGGCTAAGCACGTAGTAAAAACTATAGAGTCCTCAAAAGATACCAAGTCACATACCTCACGGGGTTATAAAGAAGATCAAATAATCTAAAATGAGCAAAGGTATATTAGAAATTTGAAAGCATGTGGAAAACAGTACAAGTGCCCTTAGCAGTGGAGGGGAGGGTGCAGAGGGGCCCTGCTGGTCTCACTGCACACCCACTCCAGCCATGAGGCTCATGGCCTTGTGTTTGTCGCCATAGCTCCTGTGCACCAGCTTGTCCAGATGGAGTCTCCTCGAGAAGGAATCGTGACCTGCAAAACATATCACACCTATATTAAGGCTTCTGGAGGTTTGGTATAAAACATCAGGTTTCTTGATTTAATTTGCATTTTAAAAATCTGTTTTTAAACTGTTGGGTTCATGTTTTTATGATTCCTTCACCAATTACTCTTTTTATGCTTATGCTAGCTCTGATTATCAGTGCTTTTATTCCCCCCTTAAAAACCTAAAGTCTGATAATACAGCCCTTTAAGTGGAGTCATTTATTTATCTCCATTAAAGCTGCCACGTTCTGTTTTATTGCAGCTGAGTAGGCAGCAGCCAGAAGCCGTTGGTGGTTCTTACACACACAGACACACAGACACACAGACACGCTGATTGCTGAGCACAGCCACAATCAGCTCAGCTCAGACTATCTGTATATGCAAGTCTCTTCCAAAAAACTGGGGATTTGGATATTTATTTAGAGACAGAGTTCATATGTAGCCCAGACTTAGGATCTACACAACCAAGCATTCCCAGGCCTGCAACAACAGACTTGTCCCACCAAACTGGACTCTCGACTTACTTTTAATGAGTACTGACTTAAGTGGAACATTGACTAGGCACGGCCACACATACCTGTAATCCAAACCCTGGGGGAAACTGAGGCAGGAGGATCACAATTTTAAAGGCAGCCTCAGCTGTACTGTTTGAAGTTATCCCGAGCTGTATAACAAGAGCCCATCTCACGTAGATGAACAAACTGGACATTGGAGGTTTTTCTCGCATGTTGACAGTTTGGTTCTATTTCCAACCAAATGGAACAGATATCCTTATTGGGGTGCAGGGGCCCAACATCAAGACATCTTGAGTCAGCCTAGCACATGGATGCTCCAGATAGGGATCTTTTCTCTTCAGCCTTGGCTTTCCCAAATCCCAAGGGTGAGGCTCAGGGTAGGGGAATCTGCCTCTGGCCTCACATCTACACCCCTTTGCTCCTCTGGCAGGGTACCTGATCTCTTTTCTGGTGCTGTGTCTCTTCTTCCTGATGATGGGCAGCTCTGCTTTCAGCACCTGGTGGTTGGGACTCTGGTTAGACAGGGGCTCCCAGGTGAGTTTCCTTTGACAACCCTGGTTCTGCATCTTGGAACAAAACACTTGCTAAATAGTGACACCTGGTGTGTTCCCTCTGTCCCCTTGCTCCTTTTGGGCCATACAATTCAAATTCTTGAGATGCTTTTCTGTTTTTAAAACAAGCAAGGCACCTACCTGGAAGTTTCCATGTACAACTTCAGATTTAAAAGGGTTTGCTGAAAACATGATGGTTTTAATGTTTGGAGTCACACTTGTCTGGGCAGGGTAGTATCACTGAAGTTTCCTTTAAGGAGGGACAGGGAGGGGCCTAGGAAGATGAGCAAAGATTGGTGTATCCCTGACTCTGAAGAAGTGCATCTTGACATAGACATCACTTAGTGCTAGAAGGTTCTACACGGCCCTGGCCCTGCTCTTCAAAGATGCCTAAGCAGGAAGAGTACCTAAAACCGATACAGCCTTTGTAAGTGCTCCAAGGCCATCAGGGTATTCAATTTTTCCCCAAGGTTTCCATTATTGCTAGGGCCTTCCTGGGCAGGACCAACACACTCCTCTTCCTCCAGTTTGCTGGAATCGTCCCCCAGTTGTTGGTAATGGATTTCAAATCTTTTCCTGGAGCTCCAGGGAATGCTGTGGGGGGTGCCTGCTCATCTTCCAGGAGAGCACTGTGGCACCAACTTGTTGCTATGACATCAAATTAAGGATGCATGGGTATGGGGGAGGGGAGAGGCTGTTTGACACAGCTTCCTGAGGCTGTTCCCCCAAACATAGGACAGGGAGAAGCCTGCTTTGTCCAGATAAAGTGAGAGCTATCTTCAAATACATGTATTCTTCCAAGTCCCCACTCACGAAGATTCTGTCCATTCTCCAGAGAAGCTCAGATGTAGGGTCAAGTGGAGCCATACCCTAGACTCAGAGCTTCTTCATTAGGCCACTGAGCATGCAGTAACAGTGGCATGGCCCCGTGTTTATTCCTGATCCCCATTGCTGTGGGTACAACCTACAGCACGGCAAAGCCTCCTCTGCATGCTGAGCCTTTCATCAACTAACCCCCAGGGATGCTTTTGCCTCAGCAGATGCTCATCCATCAGCCACCTCTGGTTTACATTTCCCCCATTACTGTAATCAGCAGAATGGCATTTAGAAGAGACATGTTTGTTTGCTCCCCAAAGGCATCCTTGACTTTTAGCATACAGCCCAGAGAAAAATGAAACTGTCAATTTCTCAACAACAGGCTATGGCCTTTCTCCAGAAATGCTGGGGAAGTTGTGTTCTCTTGCTGGGAGGGGTAGAGCCTCAGTTCGTTGGGATCCTCTGAGAGCCCCCTTGGGTTTTCTGGGCTCCATCTTTCTTGCCAGGGACTCCAGAGCAGGGCAGCAGCACTCTCACAGTTGGCCTTTGGAGACAAGCCAGGGGAGAGGACTGAGGCACTGGACCACCCTCCATAGAGACCCCTGAATCTCACTAGACAATAGCTGTTGCTGGGCAGCTCGGCAGGTGGGAGGATGGTCCCTGACTCCCTGTACTGTCTGCATTGTCTAAGGGGAGCCAGGGCAGTTGCTTAGAATCCTGTTTGCTTCTGGATCTTCTTGGCCTAGCGTTACTGCAGGTCTCTTGAGGCACAGGTGGCTTTTGTGACAACTGTCCTATACCTGTTTGTCTGCTGTTTTTTTTCCCCACCATCAGGTGCCCCTTGTGGAAGAAGCATGAAAAGCTCAGATGGTCCTTGAGGGATCTTACTTGATGTTACCTATATAACTTATTCTGGATTTGAATTTAAATTTTATTCTTTTTAAATGTGTATGTATGTATGTATGTATGTATGTATGTATGTATGTATGTATGTACATGCATGCAGGCATTTGTCCATGTGTGAGTGTGTGGAGACTGGAGATTGACCTTGAGCATCTTCCCTTATTACTCTCTACCTTAATCTTTGAGGTCGGGTTTCTCACCGAATCTGGAACTCACTGTTTTGCTGAGGGTGTCTAGCCAGTGAGCCCCAGTAATCTGCCCATTTTCCCACAAATCCTGGCACTAGTTTTACAAGCCTGTGCCACCATGCCTTGCTTTTACATGTTAGGGTTCTGAACACAGGTCTTCATGCTTGTGTGTCAATATTTTACCCACTGAGCCATCTCACCCATCCCATCTGGATCATTTTTAACAGCCATATATGTCTTTTTAGTATCTTCCTGTTAGAAAGATATCTGAACTAGCCCCCTTCTCCCAGTGGCATACCAATTCTTGATATTTCTTTCCTGTTGTGCTGCAGGTCATCTGTGTACCCCAGAGCAATAAGACAGTCTGCAATGTTGACCTGAAAGATACTGACCACCACATGTACCAGATGGTATACATAGCAAGCATGGTGTCTGTGCTGGCATTTGGCATTATCAAAGGCTTAACCTTCACCAACACTACTTTGATGGCATCCTCCTCTCTCCACAACAGAGTGTTTAACAAGGTAGTGCCACAGTGGGCTACAGGCCCACCCGATTGTTCAGTTCACAGGGGGAAGCAGGCCCTTCAATGTGCTGGACATTGTTTTGGACTCTGGGGATGGGACAGCTGGAGTCTGCCATCTAGTTTTCATGATGCTTGCACTTGTTTGAGTACCGTATAGAAAGGCCAGTTTCAGAGAGCAATCGGGGTATGTCATGGGCTCATAGGCTGGGAAGACGGTGGGGGAAGAAGATGTACATCTCCTCTCTAAGAGTTCCAGCTAGAGAGGCCTGGAGATGGGCTTCTGGGTTCCATTGCTGTAGCAGCAGCAGCAACAGTTGGTTGTGAGGGCCTTTGCCAGAAGACACAGGTATGCTCCACACTTTGTGGAGTAGACAGACAAGTAGACTTGACTTTTATTCCTCTGGAGCTCAAAATCCCTCCCTCCCTCAGAGAGCACCCATCTCGCTGACCCAGGAGGCACCTGAGATTTGGAGAGGAAGCCCCAAACATAGCAGACTCTCTTCCACATTCACTCCTGGTGGTCTAAGAATGGGAGCACCACCCTCATTTTCCGAGGATTACCCTATCTCTTGGCCTGTGCTTTCTAGAAAGATCTGGCCCCCCTGCTGTCACCTTCTACCTTGCCAGAAGTCCACTGCACACTCCTGGACTCAGGTTGCTCTGCTTTTCTCCTCAGATCGTCAGGAGTCCAATGAGCTTTTTTGACACAACCCCCACAGGCCGGCTGATGAACCGCTTTTCTAAAGATATGGACGAGCTGGACGTGAGGCTGCCATTTCACGCTGAGAACTTTTTACAGCAGTTCTTCATGGTGGTGTTTATTCTGATGATTATGGCTGCTGTGTTTCCTGTTGTCCTTGTCGTTCTGGCTGGCCTGGCTGTAATCTTCCTCATTCTTTTACGGTAGGACTATACACAACGCAAAGGGGGGAAATATTGTACCCCACCACTCTCTGTCTTTGTCTCTGTCTCTGTCTCTGTCTCTCTCTCTCTCTCTCTCTCTCTCTCTCTCTCTCATACACACACACACACACACACACACACACACACACACACACACACACACACGGAGTGGGATGGGGAGAGAATATGAATGAATGTGTGCACCAGCTGGGAGGCAGGCTATACTGACAGCCTGCTTTGTTTTCTGGTGGGAGAATCCTAGATTTTTGGCACTTGTTAAACTCTAGGTACTATGTGAGCAAGTGAGATGAGGTGATTAAGTCCCTGCCCATTAAAAATAGAACAGAATGGTAAGCAAACTTGAGAGACTTTGAGTTTGGCTAAGGACTGCTGAGGACCAGACATGAGTGGCAACAGCGAGGACAAGAAAAGGGTGGGTTTGAGGGACATTGACAAGGCAGTGTCATAAGGGTTTTACAAGTGGGAGACTGGGGAGTCAGAGAGTTTGGTACAACCAAGGACAACTTTAAGATGGGGGGGGGAGGGCTGATGTGCCGAAGAAAGTGCTCTGGGAGAAGAAGCAGTTGCAGTTGCAGTCGCAAGTGCAATTTGCTTTTGGGTTCCGACTCATGCATCAAGTCATAGCAGAGATGATGGCAAATGTGTGAGGGATGTACTGTGGCTGGAGACTGGCATGGACACCCAGTGGAAGCTGTGTGATCCTGGGAATTGAGACTAGTACCCTGGGATTCAGCAGAGCCAGGTTCTCACTGCAGTACCGTTGGTATCACTGAGAAAAGGACACATTTCCAAGTTCAAGAGTTTATTGTGATAAGAAGTAAAAACTGTTTTCTGAAAGTCCATCACAAAGATGAAGCTCATCGTTGGGCTCAGAACTTCTAGTGGTTCTCTTGAGTTTCTATTTATTTCTGTTGCACTTTTGTTGGCCATTTGTTGCTGTCTCCTCTATTGCTGCTGACTGACTAAGTAAAAGACTAAAAGAAATCTGCACCACATACCCTCGTCTTTGCTATAGCACAGGAGAGACCAAGGGGGACCCTGACCTAATTATCTGTATGTTTACAATGAATTCACTGAGTGCTGAGCTTCCCTTACTCTGTGAGTTCATTTTAGCCACGAGTCTGGAGGTAGACTTAATTCCCTCAGAGCCAGCAAACATGCATGCTCAGAGACATAGTTCTCCCATCATCAGAGCTCTTGGGACTTCCATTGTAAGGTGCAAGACAGTGCTGTGATGAGAGTTCAGCTCAGTTCCCGAGGCTTTCACCATATTTGTACAAAATTCTTTGGAAGGACACTTCCTGGCAACCAGCTCAGATCCCTCTTTCTCTGACTGCTCATCAAAAACAGGTTGACTTGTGTTTAGTGGCTGCACTGTGTGAAATCTTTGGGTCTTCAAAGACTAGAACTGCATACTGTACTGTCTGTCTGTCGTTCTTGCTACAGGAAGCACTCAGATCTGAAGGCAAATGAAGTAACAGTGTGCTCAAACCTCTTTCTCATCAGCCCATGCCTCATATAACCAGACAGGGCATCCTGGAGAGGAATTTTCCAGTTCTGACACTGACTGTGACTTAACTGTCACCTGGAAGGCACGGTTAGATTGCCTGTGCTGAGGGAGCGTTCTCTGAGACACTTTCCTTCTCCCTGCAGCATTTTCCATCGGGGAGTCCAGGAGCTCAAGCAGGTGGAGAACATCAGCCGCTCACCCTGGTTCTCTCACATCACCTCCTCCATTCAGGGTCTGGGTGTCATCCATGCCTACGACAAAAAGGACGATTGCATCAGCAGGTGAGTTGCTGGGTCCCTGCTCCGGGGTCTCCCTACCTCATGCCCCAGCCCAAATTGGGGGTCCCAGGCTTCTTTGTCAATGAGAGGGGAAATGTTGGGGACAGGTAAAGGGTTGACCAAACCAGGAGTTCTGTTTCCAGTATTGGGGGCTCCAAAAGATATAGTACTATGAGAGTGTGTGTGCGTGCGTGTGTGTGTGTGTGTGTGTGTGTGTGTGTGTGTGTGTGTGTGTAGAAAGAGAGAGGGACACAGAAAGAGAGAAGGAGGATGGGAGACAAGGGGAGGAGAGAGAGGACATGCATGTGTCATGCTGGGGATGAACCCAGGGCCTTGTTCAATGCTAGATTGGCTGATAACTCAGGCTTCTTATTGGCTAGCTCTTTCTTAATTATTAACGTATTTCTATTAATCGTATTTCCACCTGGTCTTGGCTTACTGGAGAACGCCCAGCCTCCTATCTTCCCAGTAGTTACATGGCCTCTCCCTCAAGACTCTCTGTCCTCCTCTTCCCAGCATTCTCCTAGACTTGAGGCCCTGCCTATACTCCCTGCCTGGCTACTGGCCAATCAGCATTTATTCATCAATCAATAATAAGAGAAACATATATTCACAGCATACAGAAGGACATCCCCCATCACACAGTATGCATAAATTGAAAATCCAAAATCTGAAAAGCTCTGAAATCCCAAACTTTTCTAATACTGTTGCCATGCTGCAAAAGGGACATCTCATACTTGACCTCATGTGACAGGCTGCAGTCAAGACAAAGACACAGTAAAAATGTGCATGAGAATTATCTGCAGAAGGCCTGTCCTGGTGGCACAAATGTGTGGTCCCAGCTACCAAGGAAGCTGAGGCAGGAGGATTCAGCCTTGGCTATAGAGTGAGTTCAGAGCTAGCCTGTACATCTCAGTGAGACCTCATGAGACTTAGTGTCTCAAAAAGTTAAGAAAAAGACCTAGGCGTGTAGCTCAGTGGTCGAGTGTTTCTTAACCTGTGCAAGGCCGTGCTTGGTGTCCCCCAGCACATCAAGATAAAGTAAAGCTAACAAGTGAATAGCCTGACGCTCTGTAGATAAACTTGTTATCGATTTCTAAGCTTTCTCACTGTACATACACAAATAGTCCAGGACTGATAAAATAAATTCTAATTGCAGCTGGAGAGATGGCTGAAGAGCACTGGCTGCTCTTTCAGAGGACCTGGTTTTGATTCTGATTCCCAGCTCATGGTAACTCATCATCATCAGGAGCTTTAGTTCTGGAGGACACAATCCCCTCTTCTGGCCCCCACAGACACCATGCATTCATGTTGTGCCAGACACAATTAGTCAAAACACCTGTTCATATAAAATAACTAAGTAAATTAATCAATTAATTTGATTTAAAAAATTCCAAATTGGAAACATTTGTGGTCCTAAGCATTTCATATAAAAGATAACTCAACTTTTATATTTTTTCCTTTTCTTTTTCAACTCACAAGGTTTTCCTTTTAAAAGTTATTTTGAATATGACTTTCATAGTATTGAATGTTCTTTTTTTTTTTTTTTTTTTTTTTTTGGTTTTTCGAGACAGGGTTTCTCTGTGTAGCTTTAGAAGTTGTCCTGGAACTAGCTCTGTAGAGCAGGCTGGCCTCGAACTCACAGAGATCTGCCTACCTCTGCCTCCCAAGTACTGGGATTAAAGGCATGTGCCACCAATGCCCGGCTTGAATGTTTTTTTATAATAAACACATATTTTAAAAATAATATTTTATTAATTCTTTGAGAATTTCATTTTTATCATAGTCAAACCCCATCCCCAACTCTTCCCATATCAATCTGCCCATCCCTACCCACCCAGCTTTGAGTTTTCTTCCTTTTTTCTTTTTAAATCCCATCAAGTTCAGTTGTTGAATCAATTAGTCTTTGGAGTGAGGCCTGTCTCTGAGTGTAGTCACCCTGCCAGAAGTCACCTCATTTACAAATCTGACTCTATCTCTTCCAGTAGCTACCTAATGCCAATAGCTTCTCAACTAGTGGTGGGGTTTCATGCCCCTTTTCTCTCCCCCATGCTGGGGCTTTATCTAACATAAGCTTGTGCATGCCGTCACAACCATGGTGAGTTCACACATGTACCTGCTCTGTTGTGTCTGGAAGACACTTTGATGCTTTCTACCACCTCTGACTCTTAAAATCTCTTTCTACACTCTTTTCCATGAAGGTCCCTGAGTCCTGTGCAGAAGCGTGTGATAAGTGTGTCCTATAAAGGGCTGAGCACTCCACAGTCTTTTATTCTCTGTATGTTGTAGACCAATTGAACGTCTCTGTGCTAATTGCCATCTACAGCAATGAGAAGCTTCCCTAATGAAAGTTGAGAGATACACTGGTCCATAGGTATAGCAAACTACTCCTATATGTATAGTTGACTAGTTGAGACTTGGTCTTGATATGCAGCCTACATCAGCCTGTAATTTGCAGTCATGCATCCACTCCCAAAGGGGTTATAGGTGTAAGCCAATATGCCCAAGTTCATAAAACTAATTTTTAAAACCTACATTTATTTATTTATTTGTGGGTAGGCCAATTTCCTTCTTTTCAAAACTTGAAGACTAGATTAGTTGAGTCATGTAGCTTCAGACTTCTAACATACAGTAAGTCACAACTTCTCAGTGACACAGTGGACTAAAAGCTGCTTCTGTGTGACCCCGTGAAGAAGGAGGATCAGAACAAAATGAGTATTCTTTTTTTACAGCTGGAAAAAGAGAAAAAGAGAACTCCAGAAATCCATGAGAAGGTGGTGACAGGATAGCCAAAAAGTACAAAGAAAAGAATGGGTGTCCCATGAAATAGAAACCACTACTATTCAGCTTTCAGGGGTTCCTAGTGGTGGCAGGGAAAACAGAAGACTTCCCTAAAAGTGTCATAGGTGTCCCAGCCCTCATAAGTTGACTGCTGAATTAGGGAGGGAGGGCACAGGTGAGGCCAGTGAGGGAAGAAAATTAATTATAATGACATGTATCATCTTCATAGATGCCAAGGTAACCTAAAAAAAAAAAATCAGTTGTTTCATATGAAGATCCCAAAATAAAATTAGAAGAGATATCCAAACCAATAGACATGCAAATGTTGCCACAGAAAGAGAAGAAATAGGATAAAGCCTGGCACAATAACTCCACAGGTGGTGACTCAGAAGACAGGGAAATAGCTAAAAGGCCTGGTGAGACTTTCAAGAGTATCTTGGCAAATAACACACTACCTGAAGAAGGACACAAACAAGCAGATGAAGTCAGTCTGGGACTTGGAGAAGACAATTAGAGGGAAAATAAAAAACAAGAAGTTGCCCAAGAAAATCAGCAATATAGGCAAAGAGAAATTCATCAAGAAAACAAAGTTAGAAACCAAACAATCAGTGACTCAAATAAAAATACTGTAGAAAGGATTGCTAACAGATATGATGAGGCAGGAAAAGAGCATCAGCGAAGGAGGGCAGAGGTGGAAAAATCCAATACTTAAGATCAATAAGGAAAGAAAAAGTGAATGTGCATAATTACAGCAGCCAAGAACTTTGGGATGCCATCAAAAGGTCAGAACTAAGAGGAAGGCACTAAGATAAAAACTAAGAAAATAATCCATTCAGTGAAATCATAGTGGAAAATCCACCTCCAAGACCTATAAGGAAATAGATATCTGAAGTCAATACAGGTTCAAAAATACAAATAGACATGACCACAGAAGAACTTCTGCCTGACATTGTAGGATGTCAGAAATACAAAGCCAAGAAATAGCATTACAACTTCGAAGAGGAAAATGCCAACTCACCTACAAAGGCCTAACCATAAACACTAGATCTCTTGTCAGCAACCCTAGCTGGGAAAGCATGGGATGATGTATTTCAAGCCCCAAAGGCAAGCAACCTCCAACCAACATTGCTATGTCCAGGAAAGCTTTTAAAATTGATGCTGAAATCAATGTCGGGAAAGCACAAACCACGGTGGATCATGACAGACAAGCCAACACTGCAGAAGATGCTTAAAAGAATACTGTATGTGAAGGAGGAGGAAAGCCCATCTTAGCCACAAGAGCACAAGAAAAAAAAGAATCAGGGGACGACATTGGCTCAGGCCTCTAATCCTACCACTCGGGAATGCTAGGACAAGAAACAGCCCATCATTGGTTCATAGGGATGGAAGTATACCTAGTAATTACAACCTATTAAGCAACAGCCTACAATTAGAATATTTGAAAATTATATAGGCAGTTGTGGTGCACGCCTTTAATGCCAACACTTGGGAGGCAGAGGCAGGCAGATCTCTGAGGCCAGCCTTGGTCTATAGAGTGAGTTCTAGGCCAGCCAGAGCTGTTACATAGAGAAATCCTGTCTCAATCCCCTCCCCCCAAATCTTGAGAGCATAGATGAACAAATCCCAATACTAGTTTGTAGAGGAGAAAGAGTACAACAAACAGTAATCCATTCAACTAGAAAACAGCCACAGAAAAATTTACAGGAATTGGTAAACATCTCTTAATAATATAGTCTTCAATGTAAATGGCCTCAGCTCATCAATTAAAATATTCAGACCAACTGAGTGGATTTAAAAAAAATTAGATTCAAATGGTACAGTGCCACAGGCAGTTATCCTAGTATTTAGGAAGCAGGGGAAGGAGGATCAAGGTTCAAGGCTGCCCTGGGGTAGCCTTGGCTATTTGAAACTCTGTCTCAAACCAACAAAAAAGAAGCAAAATCAACCCCTCCCCCGAGGAAACTTAGATTTAGTTATCTGTTGTCACCAAGAACCCACACATCATGGGTAAGGACACCTAGAGGCTGAAGGGCAAGAGATGGAAACCAATCTATTAATCATACAGAAGCAGGGAAGAAGTAGGCATCATTATCCTCATACCTGATAAAGAAGGCTTCGTGTGAAAATTTGAACAGACACAGCAGTCTTTTACCACATACTAATAAAGCGAGTGCTCTGTCAAGAGGACACGCCAATTACAAATAAGGGCCGTGATGGTTAATAGTGACTTTCCGATGCAGTCCATGTTGGCAATCTGATGGAGGCATTTTCCCAATTGAGGTTCTTCCTGCCCTTGTGTCAAAGTTGACAAAAACAAAACAAACAAAAACCTAGGCAGGACAGGGCCATTGTTAGATAATCTTGAGTGTACAGTTCTTAGGTTTTGGGAACTATTTTATGGCGAGAATGTGGAAGAGTTTGATCTTAAGACAGTAAATGTGTATTCTTCCTCAGGTCATAAATTAATGAGAGTCCCCAGCATGGGCAGCAGAGTTTCTTCACAGAGTCTCAGTCACTTTGCTTTTCTTCTCAAAGGTCTTAGAAAGAGAAAGGGAGACAGGGAAGTGGTAGGCCCCATGGAAACTTTTTACTGCAGAACCCCAGTGAGTAGACTCAATCTTTCTGCAAGTTCAATGGCAGGATTTCAGTCACACAGACTTACCTAGTCACAGGGTTCTGGGGACTGTAGTTCATCCATGTCCAAAAAAGGGAAGTGACAGAGGACTTTGACAAACTTAGTTGTCTCTACCAATAAGACACCTTTCCCTATTCTTTTTGTTTGTTTTTGTTTTTCCGAGACGGTTTCTCTGTGTAGCTTTGGAGCCTATCCTGGCACTCGCTCTGGAGACCAGGCTGGCCTGGAACTCACAGAGATCCGCCTACCTCTGCCTCCTGAGTGCTGGGATTAAAGGCGTGTGTCACCAACACCTGGCTTCCTATTCTTAAAAAGCTAATATATGCCAGGCAACGTGGCTCAGTCCTGTAATCACAGTGCTTAGGAGGCTGAGGCAGGAGGATTGTAAGTTTGAGGCTAGCCTGAGCTACATAGCATAATTTGTCTCTATTATTAGAAAAGAGGAGGAGGGAGAGGGAGAGGAGGAGGGGAAGGAGGAAAAGGACTGGAGGGGAGGTGGAGGAGGTGAAGGAGGAGCTATTAGTCTAGAGTCCTGCATCACACAGGTCCCTCTGATGCCCAGATCACGAAGATCCTCTGAACCATCCAGCTCTTTCCCCTGAGCACACAAAACAGATTGACACTGTTTTCCCATAGCTGCTTCTCCAAGAGCCTGGCATAGTGAGCTTAGCCTCACTGGACTGACAGGGACTCCCCTCTTGTAACACTTGCCTTTGGGAGAGCTCTGACTCCTGATATATAATGCACTTGCCACCAGATGAGTAGAAAGACCGTGGTATTTGGGGAAGTGTTTTGACCAAGCCCTGGTCAAAACAGAAACAAACAAAACTAACTAGAGTGGAGACAGAATAGGCGATATGGTGGTATGATGGTGAGTGGAAGAGTTGTATCTTTTAGGGGTTTAGCCTTGAAAAGGTTTTCCTCCCTCCACCCCCACAATTCCCACCAATTGTTGAAAAACAAAACAAAACAAAAACCAGAAACCAAAAACCAAAACCAACCAACCAACCAAACAAAAAAAACTCTTTCCACCGGGTTGAGGGCCCTTTAGTGTACCAAGGAATGAGATCTCTCGCTGCTCACCTAAAACTGCTGTCTCTGATAGAGATTTTCTGCCTAGAGACTTGGTGCCAGCAGGTTGTGCTCTGTGTGCACACGTGTGTGTGGGTTGTGTGTGTGTGTGTGTGTGTGTGTGTCTGTGTGCGTGTGTGCGTGTGTGTGTGTGTGTGTGTGTGTGTGTGTGTGTGTGTGTGTGTGTGTGTGTGTGTACTAGTGAGTGTTGGGGATAAGAGACGGGATTGCAGTGGGGAAGCTCACTTTTCAACACCTGCTCCTTTTCTCTGAAGTTCGCACAGGGGGAGCTAGGGAAAGGGCTAGGAAGGAGCATCCCCAGGTGACTACCCACACTCCATCCAGGCTCTCCTTTCTGTTGCTCCTTCCTGCTAACCCAGCTCCCCATGCAGATGCAGTGTGGCAGGGCGAACACCCCAATACAACCCATCCACACACATCCCTGCCTGACATAGCTGTTTGCACTCTGCCTGGCAGCATCCCACTGTATCCCTTAGATTTGGCATCCTCTGCTTGCTGTCACAGAGGCAGCTTGAGTGTCACTTTCACCTGTATCTTCAGCTCTAAACTTCAGGGACTGTCAGGATGCCCTCAGCTTATGTCTGGTGAATGAGTGGGAATGACTGCCCCCAAGGGTGGGCCTTGTCTTGGATCTCCTGGATATGCCATCTTTCTGTCATTCTGCCCTTTGCAAAGCCCTGGGATCCAACGGACATGCCGCAGGGGCACAGGATATCAGTTTCCTGTCCTTGAAGAGACACCTCCTGCCCCATCAGCCTTTTAAGCAGTGATTTGCTTGCTTGGCTGACTTTGAGATGGGATCTTGCCATGTAGCCCAGGCTGGCCTTGGACTTCCAAGTGCTGGAATGATGTCAGGCTCCAATGATGATCTTGGTCTTGGTGAGTGGTGGTAGGGGAAGCAGGAAGATGCCCTCCCTTCCTACTAAACCATTGGCTACTCCTGTCTTTAAGACAGAAGGAGCCATTTATAGATTTCGCAAGTCCTGTGGATACTTCCAAGCTAGAGCATGAGGTTTTCAACAGTTTTGGTTTTAGCTGTGGACTCTAGTTTCTGGGAGAGACAGAGAGAGCCCACTTAGCACCCGTGCCAACTGCCACACAAAATTTCTCAGAATGTGTGCAAATCAAAGATGCCTGTGGTACAGCAGAAGCATGGATATATGGTCATTTTTGTAACAGTCACCTTGCAAGAAGGCGTTCCAAATGCCCAGTCTTGGCTCCATTAGGAGCCTGAATCTCCCACTGCCAGCAGGACCTGAGCTCTTATTTCCTCTGACTTTTTTTCAACTTTAGGTTTAAGACGCTGAACGATGAAAACTCCAGCCACCTCCTGTACTTCAATTGTGCTCTCAGGTGGTTTGCTCTAAGAATGGATGTCCTCATGAACATTGTCACCTTTGTTGTGGCCTTGTTGGTGACCCTGAGCTTTTCTTCAATCAGTGCTTCATCCAAAGGCTTGTCATTGTCTTACATCATCCAGGTAACAGCTGGTACATGGTTGAACTTGGCCTATGATATATTAGAATGGATACTTTTAGATGGATGCTGCAGAAAACTCAAAAAAGGTTAAAAATGAAGCTTTACCATAGATATCATTGACATTGAGGCAGTTGTGAGGGCTTCAGGAACAGTTGGATCTTTGCTCCTGGTTTTGTCCCCTTTTGTAATGCCTCCCTCATAGTTGTACAGTGGGTGACAAATGGTCTCTGAGATCTATAGGAAGAAGAAACAGTGGGGAACATTCCCCCTTTTACTACTCAACAAAAGCCCAGGCTTTATGCTTACTGGATGGATTTAGGCATCCAAGAACTAATTAGTGGTTTGGTGGGAGCAGAATGATTGATTTGGGCCAAGGTGTGGAGTCTCATTCCATCTCAAATCACACAGCAGCTTCACAGTGGGACTAGGAGAGGCAGACAGTTTCTGGCAAATGATTAGGAACAGGCTCTTGGCTGCTTGGGTGCCTTTCTCTTTTAATAATAACACAAGAGGAGAGCACACAGCACTGTAAATGACTTCCTCCACTGCTCTCAACAACCCTGGGATGTTTCTGTAAGTCTCACTATGCAGATAAACGAGATTCAGAGAGACTGACATCTGCCCTGTGTGGGCCATGATTTAAGCTTAGGTTGGTTGGTCATTGAATCTTGTCCCTGAGAGTGTGTTTCCAGGTCCTGTCTGGAACCTTCTCCATTGAGTCCATGCATTTTGGGACAAATTTTCTGGATGTGGGACTTTTAAAACATTCTCTTTTCACTAGTGTGTTTATTTATTTATTTATTTATTTATTTATTTATTTATTTATTTCATTTTTGAGGCAAGCTTGACAACTTCCTGCCTCAGGCTCCCAGTGCTGAGATTATAGGCATGCTCTACCACGATCCTCCCTGTCCCACAATGCTCTGTGCTTTCAAATCAAAGTCAAATCTCTTCTCCATCAGAAAATGTTCTCCCTCCCTTGTTTTCGATTTGCTTATTTTTATGTCACATGTATGGCCATTTTGTCTGCATGTGTGTTTCTGAACCTCATTCATTCCAGTGCCTACAAAGGCCAGAAAAGGGCATTGGACCCCTGGAATTAGAGTTACAGATGGTTGTGAGCCAACATGTGAGTACTGGAAATTGAACCCAGGTCCTCTGGAAGAGCAGCCAGTGCCTTTAACCTCTGAGTGATCTCCAGCCCCAGTATTCTCCCTTTGCTTACTCATTTGGACAGTTTCCTCTGTTTTGTTTCCTGGGAATTTTCCTCAGCTTTGTGATGCAACCATGCTTTTGAATTTTCAGTGTGGCAACCATGTATTCACACATCAAATTCCCACATGCTCTCATTTTTTTTTTTTGTCTTTAAAAGACTCACTTTTAAATGACTGAAATACGTTTTTACTTTTTCTAAGGATACTAATACTGACAACCCCCCCCCCAGCCAACTTTCCCCTTTTCTTTAATTTCTACCTCTTTTTTCCAGGGTCAGTTTTTCTTCTTGTTTATTTAGGTCTTGCTCTTGCCTGCCCTTGGTTTGTTTATCTATCTCTCCAGTCATTTGTATTTAAGGATGGGAGAACAGTTTGGCTTTTGGTGTGGCTTTGTGCCTCCCCTCCTGGGATAGTTTCTAACTCTGCCGGTGCTGGGGTAACATTTTCATTTTTTAAAAATATTTTTTATACATTTGCTTCCCTTTCCCAAAGCAGCCAAGGAGTGGGCCTGAAGGCATTAAACATTAGAACTGGTGTTTTGTTTTGTTTCTCCATAGAGTAATATTTGTAGAGCCCCACATACTCCCAGGATGTCAACTCACTGTCTTTTGGAAAGGTCGAATGTGTGCATGTGTGTGTAGATGGATACACCAGGGCAGTTGCCTCTAGAGAGACCACCAATCAGCAGGCCTCTTTGTGGCTCCCTTCTCATACCGTGAGCCTCTGGGGCTTGGCTCTAAAGTCCAGAAACACCTTTGCCTTTCATTTTAGCAGAGATGCTCATCCAATGCCCTCTGCTAGAAATGTGTGACTCCCATGCATTGAGATCTCTCCCATCTCCTGGATGTGGAAGGTGTTCTTTCAGAAAACATCTTGGGTATCATTTTAATAGTATGTTGGGATGGAAGCTATAGTGTATAAACTGATGACATGACCACTCCATGGTATGGTTAAGACGAAGGTGTTTTTGTTTTTTTAAATGTAGATATGTGAGATATGAGCTGGGGGAAGTTTAGGAGAGAGGGTAAGAAGGACTATAATGCTAGGATAGACTTTGGAATGTGCAACAGGCACATGCCATACTGAGAGAGCCTGGGTGGCAGCATGCCCTTTGATATGCTAATAGGTACCACAGGTAGTCAGAGGTAAGGGAAATGACTCTTTTTTGGTAGATGGGAACCAGCGTCACAAGTTTCTGAGGAATACTGGCTTTTATCTAACTGCCAGAAATCCTCCTATAATCCAGGTTGAGCTCATTTCTGCATATTTGGACTGCCTTTTGGAGTTTGGAGGAACTGGAGTTTCTTTTGGACCTAACAGAGACATCTTCCATGGCCTTAGTTAGGGCAAGTGGTTTTTACTTAGATTTACTTAGTTTGCAATGAAGACATCCACTACCAATGGGGAAAACTCTTTGGGGCAATATTATCAGCTTTCCAGGAGACAGTGGCTGAACATCCCCCTGCAGAGCCTGAATTTGCATGGCCTTTTTGACATTGGTTCTATCTGGAGAACACAGAATCCAAGTGGCAGAGGTTCCCTTGAGAATGGAAGAAACATCCCAGAGAGACAGAAAACAGTGTATCACAGCACAGGGCAGAACGTGAGTGCTAAGTGACTTCAAGTGCTGCAATGGAGACCTTGTGCTTACTTGGATCTGCACTGTGCCCATATGGGGATTCTAGACCTGGGTTGGATGCCAGGCATTTAGGAGCTGATTCTCTTTTATTTAGCAGAATATATCTGTGCCCTTCTTGGGAGCAATGTGCACTCTTTCCGAGCAGCCGGCACGAGGCAAGGGCTATGCTGGTGACTGCAGTTGCAGCGGGCCATCTGCACCGTTGGGCCCACCAGGCCTTAGGTTCTAGCACACAGCTCAAACAAGGTTTTGCCCCAAGGGACAGGATGGGGCCAAAAATCACTCAGGTTCAAGCCCAAGAGAAATGGGAAGCCCTGGGCCCCTGTTAAGCTGGGAAGGTGGCAAGGGCCTGCTGGGAAGAGCTCTCTGAGCTCATGGAGGGGCCTCCTCACCTATTTTATAAGCCCTCTGTTCCCCTCCCCTTGTCCTCCTGTCCCCCTTCTCCCATCCCCCAGCAGTTCTGACTGCACTGCCCCCTTTCTATGAAAGCCAGGCTGCTTACCAGAGCTTTCTTTGGCTTCCTGCAAACACAATGCCATGTCATACCCAAGTCTTGAGCATCTGTAGATTTGGGTGTCATAAGGGAATGGTGGTGCCAAGTATCATAGATCTTTGCATTCCCTAAGACACCAAGGGACAAGTGTGAAGATCCCAGTCTCCTTGGCCTGTCGTGGTACACTTGTGTAGTCTCTCAGAAGTCCCGATCCAGATGGGTCTCAATGGCTTCCAGTGCTACTCTCACGAGCAGGCTTTGGAGGCCTCTCTTCCCTCATTTCTCCTTTTGGACTAACAACCTGTAGTCATTTGCTTAGATACTGGAACAGATCCCCAAAAGCTTGGTGGCTTAAAACAAGAGAAATTTATTTTCTCACTGTGTTGGACATTCAGAGTCTACACAGTGTTTGTCATCAAGGCTGCTTTTCTCTTTAGGCTCCAGGGAACTATTACAGTTTTGTTGTGCTTCCAGAGGTTGGTGGCATTTCCTGGCATGAATTAGCACTCTTGGCCAGGCGGTGGTGGCATATGCCTTTAATCCCAACACTCAGGAGGCAGAGGCAGGTGGATCTCTGTGAGTTCAAGACCAGCCTGGTCTACAAGAACTAGTTCCAGGACAGCCTCCAAAGCCACAGAGAAACCCTGTCTTGAAAAACCAGAAAAAAAAAAATAGCTTTTAACTCTTTCTTTCTTTCTTTCTTTCTTTCTTTCTTTCTTAAATTAAGGTGCTTGTTATTTATTGTCTTAGGATCCAACCAGGCACTCAGGGTATTTAGTCATAGCTGCAAAGGTCCATTTCCAAACAGGCTAACATTCTTGGGTTCTAGAGCCTTGGATATAGACGGTTGCAGTGGTGGAGAAGGCATACTCCAACCTGCCCCAGTTATTACTTGCACTCAGATCTTGGAGTTAGATTCTGGGGGATCCTGGCCTAAAGCAGGTCCTCTTGGCAAACTATCTCTCCCAGTCTGGATCCTGGAGCACGTGTGTGTAATAGTGGTTTTCAGGGACTTTTCTGTCCCCATATGTGTGTGGGGGGGGGGGGGGGGGGGGAGGGTGGTGGGGTTAAGAAGTGGGAGTGGGATGCAGGGCCCCACCAGGTGGCAGCAAGGAGCCAGCCCCTAGCAGTTTGGCTCTGGGATGAATCTCCTCCCCAGGCAGTTGGGACTGGCTCACAGGAGTAATCAAGGTGGTGGGATGATTCTCACCATCTGGAGTGAGGGAGAAAATGTAAATACCATTTGTTTTTAAATACAAAGGAAATGTTTAAATGCAAAACATCCCAACAGGAAATGTGGCCTTCTGTGTTCCTGGCTGGGACAACTGCAAGCCTCTTCTATGCATTGCTTGGGCCAAAGTAGTACTTTGAAGTGGCAGACTTAAAAAAATATAAGAAAAGTGGAGAGGAGAGAGAGAGAGAGAGAGAGAGAGAGAGAGAGAGAGAGAGAGAGAGAGAGACCACGAACAGCTGGGACCAAGGGAGGGTAGGGGGCCTTCAGTAGCTACCTGCTTCTTCCCAACAGCTCAGTGGACTGCTTCAAGTGTGTGTGCGAACAGGAACTGAGACCCAAGCCAAGTTCACCTCTGTGGAGCTGCTGAGGGAGTACATCTAGGAAAGGAACAAGTGAACTGCAGGAAGCC